CCCCCGATGGCTCGGCCTCGGCACCGGCTAAGCCTCGGCGACTTCGTGCGGACAACGCACTACGACCGCACGTCGCTCGTCGTCAGCCCTACATCAAGCTATTACGTCATGCGACGAGATCGGATGCGACCGGTGTGCGCCGCTTTCCGGCCGGGGAAGAACCACTCCATCGACTATTCCGCCACAAAGAATAGGCTACTGTGTCTCTTGACAGGCCGCCTCTGTTCACATGACGCCACGAAACTAGCGCATGTATCATCCCCATCCCCCCTTCTACTATAAAAGGGAGGGACCGGTGCTGTTTTTAGGGAGGGGGAGAGAGGGGCACGAACTGGAACACACTTAGTCACATACGAACTCACGAGGTAGATGAACACGGGCCGTAGCACCCACACTTAGATCAACGTCTCGAGCAATTCGTCCCGTTCATCATAGAGACTTGGGGCTAGCTCCCTCTCTCGCTCTGCTTAACCCCCTATTACGAGCACTTTGGTGTAAGGAATACAAGATCGATATCCTAGACTGGACGTAGGGCACTGATTGCCTGAACCAGTATAAACCTTGTGTCTCTTTGCATCACCATCCGGGATTAGAGGCACGCAGTACAAATTTATTAGTTGGTTGAGGACCCCCCGGTCCGAAACACCGACAATAATTCAACAAACGGTATTTTCAGTCATGACTTTTCAGCAAAACGAACAGAGCCATAGCCATGTCTTAGTCGGACAGTCACTAACTACTAGTGGGAGGAGATGGCGATAATCTGGACTTTGGATGGAGGGCACACCGCACACGCACTCTTCTTGTTGTTCGTTGGAGCCGAGAGGGGGGGGGGGTGAGAGTAGTGACCCACTTTGACCTCATGTCTCTACTCAGCTCGCTCGTCAGGCTCCTAGTGAGTGAGTGAGCCCCCGGGCCCGGCCAGTTAGTTGCTGTGGCTGGTAAGGTGGCGCTGCCTTTTGCTTTCGCCACCAACCTGAATGATGCCATTCACTCTGTGCAATCTGCATTTGATCAAATGTGGGGGTCGTCTCAGCTCCATGGGAGATATGAGATACTGTATCATTAACCTCATCATCTCAGTTCGCTTGTCTTATGAGCCATACTTTTTCAGCGAAGAAATAGTATTTTTCTCTCACAACAAATCAGCGAACAGGAGCCTATATATAATAATTCTGTTGCAGCGCTTTCTTTGTTTCCTTCATGGAATAGTATGTATATACCACAAGACAAGAGCAAGACCAAGATCGAGTGATTTGATCCATCTGTATATATGAGGGATTTATTGGTTTGGTTGGTGTTGGACCGCCGCCGCAGTTGCAAGTTGCAACTTGTACACGTCGTCAGTGTGGTCACTAGCAGCTAGCTAGCTAGTACTCACTAGTAATGGCCGGCCATCGAAACATTGTTCCAATAATTCATTCCCTTAACTAGAGCTCGACCTCACAAGCATGATGAGACGGATATTCTCTGCATCTAAATATCTCGCTAGCTATTGTAGCACATATCTCCTTGTTGCAAGCTAATTAAAACACAGTAATGCATGACGAGAAGCGTTAATGACTACTAGAAGATCTGACAACACATCTCCTTTCTCGCCTCTGATCTCCATCAGCATGGTATTATCTATCTATAGGATTATGCATGCATGCGGCTAATAACAAGACCGGTCCCATACTCTAGTTTTTAGCCCTTTATATTAAATAGCTCGTTTTTGGATGGCGACTCATCATCTACATCTACCTCAGATTGTTGTGGAGTGCAAAAACATGAACATGCCGAGCAAAATGCTAATACATTCTCGAAAGGAATCGAGACTAATTAAGGACAAATTAACTAAGCATGCTCCATAATCCATAGCTACCTTCGCGGCTAAGGATATATATGTAGCGCTAGTAGAGACGGTGTCTCTAAAAGGTACCTTTCTGGCTTTGTCATCACCCATCCATTATACCTTTATTGCCTCTCCCATGCATCCTACTATGCTACATCTATAAAGTGCACCATATCCATGTCCTCCTCTGAGCAGCAACATCGCCATCTGTATCGATCGCACACCATGAACAAGAACGAACAAAAGCGATTCCAACTTTAGAGCAAAAGCTTTCTTGTTTGGTGACTTGTAGGTCCCTAGTGACTTGGGTGTGCATGCCTAGATAGGCTGCTGCCTCTTGTCGTGTGCTCTCTCCTTGCAATTGCACCAGAGTGTTGAAGAGTCCTGCTACCTCTACCTGTGAAATGTGAATGAACAAGCTAGCTGCGAAAGAAGGCTGTGCGCGCTGTCCTTGGAGACAGACGAATGAATGAATGTAAAGAAAGACGTTCTGAAATTCGTGTGTGTGATGAAGTAGAACGTTGCGCTAGCAGGCCGAATGCTGGGGGACGAATTAGAACCTGTGGGCTGATGCCACATATGAGCCCAAGAACATCGTATTATTCACTCGGCGTACAAAGCTGCTTTCGGCCTGTTGGTAGTCGGTAGCTGGGCTTCCCTAGACGCATTGGGCTGACCTACAGGAGGATCGGCCCAAATAGACAAATAGTGATGATAATTCTGAGAGAAAAACCTCGGTACCTAATGCATTTTCTACCCGGAAAAAATACCACATTACGGCCCTCAACTTTTATGAAAGTTCATTTTTCCTTCCTGAACTCCAAAACCGAGCAAAACACCTCCCTCAACTTTTAAAACCGTTCATCTTACCTCTCTGGCCCTGTTATAAGCAGTTTTGAAGACGGTTTTGTCTTTTTCTTTTTTTATTTATTTCAGTTGAATCTTTGAAAAATCATAGTAAATCACAGAAAAATCATAAAATACAAAATCTAACTTTGTTGGACTCCACATGAGTAAATCTACATAGTCGACCTGTAGCTGGCTCGCTCAATAGATTAAAAAAAAAATCTTATCCTGAGAACTCTACTCTAAGAGATTTGAATTGTAAGGTCTCATTACCATTTCGAGTTATGATCATCATCTGCAACCAAGTGGTCATATTTTTACGTGGCATTTTGTATATACTAGCGAGTAGTGTACCGTCTTCCCTAACAGTATATCGGCGAACAGAACTGATGGAGGAACTGTCCTGTGCCGCGCGGGCTTGGTACTTGTAAGTAAGGAACAACTCTTCCGCGCGACATGCGAATTGCAATTTGTATATACGGAGTGGAGGAGCACCTGGCCCGGTTGGGGCGAGCATGTGGAGCACGCGCTTGAGCCACTCCAGCTGCACGTCCAGCGAGTAGGGTGGCAGGATGGTGAGGTCCAGCCCCATGTCCTTGAACACCTGCTGGCTCAGCGCCGTCGCGCCGGACACCGCCAGGTTGGCTCCCGCCCGGAAGTCCTCCGCCGTCTTCCCGAGGAAGAACGGTGTCGAGAGCGGCAGCTTCAACGCCTCCGCTGCAAGCAAGTGCACAGGACGCATCCGTCATCAACCGCATTGAACCAACAAACAACTACCAGTGCTGGAAATATATTACCCTACCAATGAAGTCGACGATGAGCCGGCCGTCGCAGAACCGGCCAGTGGGGCGGCGGAAGAAGGTCTCTCCGTAGGGGGACGACAGCACGGATCTGTTGGGGGACAAGCTGGCAAAGTTGCCGGCGTCGGTCAACGAATCGCCCAAGCTGAACAGGCGCGTGTAGCGGCAAGTGCCGGCCGGGTACGACACGGCGGCGTACGGGCACACCACGAGGAGGACAAGGGGGAGGACAACCACTAGGGAAGACGCCATCGATGTCTGCTGATCTTCGTCCTAGCTAGCTAGCTACGTCTCAGCAATGGCAACTTATTAGAGGTTGCACGCATTCACGGTTGAAATGTTGCCTGTGTTGTTAAGCACTTAAGCTTCATAAGGTTGTTCTTTCAGGATCTCAATTGAACAGTTTAAGTAAAATACTATTCCTAGTATATAAATATCATGCATTATTTGGTCAGAAACTGGTCGATCCAGAAGACTTCATTTAAATTTGCCGTCAACTGAAGTCTTGCATGCTTTTCAAGAGACAATCCAGTCATTGGTCGCTTTCAGTACTTGTATGCTTTGTGCAGCAACAAGTACTATAAGTTATACGTTGACATTCAGTCTAGTCATCTGCTTAACTCTCTCAAATTTTGGCCACATGTCAAAATAAATCTCGAAAGATAATATGCAACACTATAGTAGTAGAAAAAAAGTAAAAAATATTGAAGTTGACCCAAGGCTAGCCATCTTGTCAAATCTGCGGTTGTCTAAACTACTAATCATGATCGCGCAAGCAAGCGTCATGTTCGTTTGGGCTTGTTTGGCTTATAAGCTGTACTTTTCCAGCCATTAAACAATATTTTTCTCTCACACCAAATCAGCCAACGGTATTTTCAGCCATGGCTTCTCAGCCAAACGAGCCCAAACGAACGGGGCGAAGATCAGCCCATGATTTTCTAGGAAGATTGCCTCGAGCACGACCGAATTGATCACGAGACTAAATTCCAGAAAAACCACAGCAACACACCGGCCTATATATATGCAATTATCACCATAAGTCCATAAGACTATCTCCAACAGGAGACCCATTGCGAAACCCAAATCTAAAATGGATTTCTAACATAATACCTATAGCCTTCAACAGAGTATCAAGAGTACCTATATGGAAGACCCATTTTAGGAGTAGTATTTGTTTTGTTTTCTTTGGGGGGTTTGGGGGGTAGGAACGAGTTCGATTTCGTTTTGCAGATTCGTGCTCAAACCGGCTAGATTTTCTTCCCCTACAACGGGAAGATGTCCTCTAGCTATGTCATGTCGGAAATGAAGCATCAAACATGCAATTGTATTCAGTTTAAATGTTTAAATGTTTAAATGATGATGATGTCCAGAGTGTGGCAACGTCATCGAATTCTCACAAGGGTCGGGTTCTCGCTTGTCCCCCACACACAAAAAAAAGGGAGAAGTCGTGGCTACACACTCCTGCATCCCTACTTTCAAACAACTCCAGCCTTGACAGGTGACATTTTGACCGTCCAGAGCTACTCCTCAAGCTTTCCCGGTATGTCGTGCTCTCTGAAAAGAAGGTACCTGACATTTCAAGTAACCAGGTTAGACCAAAACAAGACTATCAAACCTGAAAGAACTTTATTTATACATGTTTAAACTGACATTGCCTTTAGCTAAGAATTTTCATAATAACTAGCACCGGGTTCAGTTAAGAACTCATATATGGCATAATGTAGAAAAATAATGAAGGCACCCCAGCTTGGTTGAGAAAATACTCCTATGAATACTAGGAAAAAAAAACTCCCCTTTCAGACTACTACCACAACTACTTAGCAGGATGCATAGACAAGTGACATCCCTAGATTCAGGTACAAAGGAGGTGTTAGTACATGGTTTATAACAACCAGCTTAACAAAACAACTCGATACCATGCTGTATTACCAGTAGAAACTCAGCTGGACGAACGGGAGCTGCTCGTTTGGCTGTTCACTGGGTGATAGTTCAAACTACTAAATTACCACCCAGAATGCCAGTTTAAACATAACATTTTAAAGGTATCGTTCTTGAACATAGTGCCAAATCAAAATAGCATGCATATGTTAACATACTCTTTTTCAGCAAGCTTCACTTCAGTTCCACCATACTCAGGAAGTAGAACAGTGTCGCCTTCACTCAGAGATACAGGGATCAGCTTACCATCCCTATCACGATCACCAGGGCCAACAGCAATGACTTTAGCAGCGTTCAGCTGCATTCAAAAATAAAGTGATATGTTAGGCCTAAAAGAGACATGAAAACTAAAAATCCATGATAAAAAAAGTCCACAAACAACTAAAGCTAAAAAGGAAACGCCATGATTCAATATATTTGAACTCATTCAACCTACATACTGAGCATACATAGATATTGCAGCGAACATCACAAGCAGTTCACCCTGCCAGTATTAATCTAGAGGCTGCTGTAGCTACAGCTACATAAAAAACTGCAGTAACAAAAGTACACTCTCATAGTTATCAAGGCGAGGCATGACAACTGACTACCACCTTGAGCTTAAGTGGTTGTGCCGTGATCTGAGGCGACACCTTACCACTTGAAAGGAAAATACAAAATAGCAGGATAGAGCCATGGAGGATGGAGAAAAAGGAAACAACAACAACAAAGCCTTTAAGTCACAAACAAGTTGGGGTAGGCTAGAGTTAAACCCCAGCAGAAGCAATCAAGATGGAGAAAAAGGAAAAGGGAAAAAAAAGAAATGAGGAGTAAGAAGTGGGCTAGCCCAGCCCACCAGGCAGCCCATGTGCCCCTCCCCTGTTAGACATAATCTGCTGCTCCCCATTCTCTCCTTGGTTGGAGACTGGTCGGCTCGGCCGACCACTCCTTGTTGGGAGTTGGGGACTGATCGGCTCTGCCGACCAGTTTCTGTAGCTGTAGCAGTATTACAATAGGCCACCTTTATTACATTAGTTGGTAGCTATTACATCAGCCATGACTTGGTAGTGGGCTAAGGTAAGTTTTGTACTGTTAGGAGTAGTTGGTATACTCTGTACCTTAGGAGTAGGCAATAGGTGTACCCTGTACCTTAGGAGTAGGTAGTTGATGTGCTATTGTACTCAGGAGTAGACAGTTGTCCAACAACTATGTAACTGGTAAAGATACAGCTAGAGTTGTATATATTCCATCCAAAGGGCAATGAAATACTCAGTTCAGTTGCCACAAACCAAGGGCAGAGCTTCGGCCAACGTTGGTGCTTGTGCTGAGTGTGTGTGTGCGTTGTTCTCAATCTCTTCTTCTACCTTTAGCCATACTGAGTGAGTGTGTGCTGGTAAGCTAGTTGCTTACCTGTGCAGGGCAGCTAGGGATCAACAAGTGGTATCGGAGCCGTACAAGCGCCGTCGCCGGACTAACCGCTGGCGATGACGGACGGTTCGGAGATGGGCGATAGCAACGGCGCGGCTGTGGCTGGCCAGCCACGACAGGAGGTCGTTGTGCGCACGGTGCGGGAGGTCAGCGACACCAGTTGGCCGACGCTGACTCGAACCAACTATGGCGAGTGGGCGGTGACTATGAAGGTCAAGCTCAGAGCCCGACGGCTCTGGAATGCTGTTGACAAGGGCACCGACAACGAAAAAGACCACATATCAGCATTGGAGGCTATCCTCGCTGCTGTGCCAGCGGAGTACAGGGAGCCGTTGGGGCGAAGAGCTTTGCTAAGGAGGTGTGGGAGGCCATTGCGGCGATGCGCGTCGGTTTCGACCGCGCAAAGAAGGCGACGGCCCAGCTGCTGAAGCAGGAGTACGCCAACCTCAAGTTCAAGGATGGTGAATCGGTGGAGGACTTCTCCCTCCACCTGCAGACGCTCATCAATAAGCTGAGGAGCCACGGCATCACCATCGACGAAGAAGAGGCGGTCTCCAAGTACCTCCACTTCGTGCCGGCGAAGTACAACCAGATTGCTCTCTCCATAGAGACGATGCCGGACTTGTCCACCCTCACTATTGAGGATGTGACAGGTTGTCTGCGGGCGGTGGATGAGCGCATGGAGCATGCGATAGAAACGATGGACAGTGGCAAGCTGCTGTTGACAGAGGAGTGGGCTGCCCGGATGAAGGAGAAGTCCAGGGAAGCCTCCTGCAGCCGCGGTGGCGATGGCAAGCGCCGTGGCAAGGCTTCTTCAGAGAAGAAGAAGAAGAAGGTCGACCCCAACGCCTGCCGGCACTGCGGGAAGACGGGCCATTGGGCAAAGTAGTGCCCAAATCGCAAGCAGGAGAAGAAGGCTGAGGCTCATCTAGCGCAGGCTGATGATGATGATGAGGCCACTCAACTAATGACGACGTTCTGTGCACTGCACGACGTTGAGGCCAAGGAAAAAGGTGAGGGGATGGCGGTGGAAGGGCCTGGGAAGGCTCTGAAGGCTGTCAACCTCGACGAACCACGCGCCCAAGTCCACCTCGGAGGTGTGGGCGACGAGCAGGAGCAGCGGTGGTACCTGGACTCCGGCGCCAGCAACCACATAACGGGCTCCAAGGCAGCCTTCTCTGAGCTCGACGACAACGTGACCGGCACGGTGAAGTTCGGTGACGGCTCAAGGGTGGCGATCCGAGGGCGCGGCACCATCATCTTCAGGTGCCAGAACGGCGAACACCGCGCACTAACGGATGTATATTACATCCCGCAGCTGCGTTCAAGCATCAGCAGCATTGGCCAGCTGTATGAGCGCGGCTGCGAGGTACTGATCAAGGACAGCGTCCTCAGGATCAGGGACCGAGAGCAGCGGCTTCTTGCCAAGGTGAAGAGGTCCCGAAATCGGTTGTACCTGCTCGACCTCAAGGTGGAGCAGCCCATCTGCTTGGCAGCACGGCGCACGGAGGAGCCATGGTTGTGGCATGCCCGGTATGGACATCTCAGCTTCGACGCTCTTGGTTGGCTGGAGAAGATGGTGACTGGGCTGCCTCACATCGAGCAAGTAGGCGAGCTGTATGACAGCTGCCTGATCGGGAAGCAAAGAAGGCTGCCGTTCCCGAAGACGACGAAGTACCGCGCGGCAGAGACCCTCGAGCTGGTCCATGGTGACCTCTGCGGGCCGATCACGCCGGCGACGCCCGGCGGGCGCAAGTACTTCATCTTGCTGGTGGATGACTGCATGCAACCGGTAGATGTGGCTGCAGCTTCTGACCAGCAAGACCAAGGCGGCGGAAGCGGTCAAGAAGTTCAAGGCGCGCGTGGAGGCGGAGAGCGGCAAGAAGCTGCGCGTGCTGCGGACTGATCGCGACGGCGAATTCACTTTGGTGGAATTCGCTGCGTACTGCGCAGATCAGGGCATGGTGCAACACCACACCGCGCCGTACTCGCCACAACGGAATGGCGTGGTGGAGCGGCGGAACCAAACGGTGGTCGGCATGGCTCGATCCATGATGAAGGCTAAGAAGATGCCGGCGGAGTTCTGGGGAGAGGCGGTGACCACGGCGGTGTTTATCCTCAACCGCGCGCCCACCAAGGCCCTGAAGGGAAAGACGCCGTTCGAGGCTTGGCATGGACGCAAGCCAAATGTGTCCTTCCTCAGGACATTTGGCTGCATCGGCCATGTGAAGAACACCAAGCCTCACCTCGGCAAGCTGGAAGACAGGAGCACGCCGATGGTGCTCCTGGGCTACGAGGAGGGCAGCAAGGCCTATCAGCTTTATGATCCCAAGAGAGGTAAGGTGGTGATCTCTAGGGATGTGGTGTTCGATGAGAAGGCGGCCTGGGACTAGGACAGTCCGAGCACGGGGGAAGCTGGCGGCTTCACCAGCACCTTCGTCGTCGAGCGCATAGTCATTCACGGTGGTGGAGACGCCGGAGACGAGGTGCCGACCACTCCAGCAACAAAGCCGAGCACTCCACAGTCGTGTCTTAGAAACACCGCAGAGGGGATGCCGAGCACTTCAAAGAAGCGATCAGAAGCGCTCCAAAGATGAGAGTCGACCACTCCAGGAGTGGTGCCGACCGCTCCAGCAGTGGATCCGACCGCTCCGGCAGTGGGGCCGAGTGGTCCGGCAGCGATGCCGACCACTCCGGCAGAACAGGGAAGCCGGGGACCACCGATCGAGTTCACCTCCCCTCCGAGCGACATCAGCGAGTTCGTGGATGCCTTCCACGACGGTGAGGAGGTCCGGTTCCGCAGACTGGACAACATCGTCAGCAATGCAGGCCAGGGGCCACAGGCTTGGCGAGTCGGCTGCTCGACGATCCAGAGCTGCTCCTTGTTAGTGCCGAGGAGCCACCGACGTTCGCAATGGCTGAACGCGGCGCCAATTGGCGACGGATGATGTTGGAAGAGATGAAGGCCATCGAGGACAATGGCACATGGGAGCTGGTAGATCCACCGGTGGGCTACAGGCCGATCGGCTTGAAGTGGGTCTACAAGGTGAAGCGGGACGAGCGCGGCGCCATTGTTAAGTACAAGGCTCGGCTCGTCGCCCGCGGCTTCGTGCAGCGTGCGGACATCGACTTCGAGGAAGTCTTTGCTCCGGTGGCGCGAATGGAGTCTGTTCGCTTGCTGTTGGCCATGACAGCAGCGAAGGATTGGCGTGTCCACCACCTCGACGTTAAGTCTGCGTTCCTCAACGGCGAGCTCGCGGAGACGGTCTTCGTCAAGCAAGCTCAAGGGCCATTGCCGTCAAGGGCGCCGAGCACATGGTGCTCAAACCGCACAAGGCGCTCTACTGGTCAGCGGCAGCCCCGGGCGGTGGAATGCCAAGCTCGACGCCACCTTGGGCGAGCTTGGGTTCACTCGCTGCGCTACAGAGCACGCGCTCTACACGCGGCGATGGGGGAAGGAGTAGCTCATCGTCAGCGTGTACGTGGATGACTTAATGGTCACCGGAGCGCGAGCAGAGGACATCGACGGTTTCAAGCGTGAGATGGCGGCTCGTTTCAAGATGAGCGATCTCAGCGCGCTCTCCTACTACCTCGGCATCGAGGTGAGGCAGGGGAAGTAGAGCATCTCCATGGGTCAGCGTGCCTACGTGGAGAAGTTGCTGGAGCGCGGCGGCATGGCGGAGTGCAAGCCGTGCGAGACTCCGATGGAGGAGCGGCTGAAGCTGAGCAAACACAGCATTGCTGCAAAGGTGGACGCGACGCGCTACCGGAGTATCGTCGGGGGGCTACGCTACCTCACTCATACCCGACCGGACATTGCGTTCGCGGTTGGGTACGTTAGCCGTTTCATGGAGGACCCACGCAAAGATCACTGGTCGGCAGTGAAAAGGTTGTCGCGCTACGTCAAGGGGACACTCGATCAAGCGATCATCTTCCCCAAGAGTGGCGGCAAGGGAGGGTTGCGGCTCACGGTGTTCAGTGAGGCACCCCCAAGGCAAAGGAAGGTGAGCCAGAGCTCACTGTTTTCAGCGATGCAGACATGGCGGGCGACATTGATGGGCGACGGAGCACCTCCGGCGTGCTCGTCTTCTTTGGAGCGGCCCCCATTTGCTTGGCAGTCGCTGAAGCAAAAAGATTGCGGCGCTATCGACATGTGAGGCGGAGTACGTCGCAGCGGCCACGGCGGCGTGCCAGGCTGTCTGGTTGCGCCGGCTGCTAGGCGAGCTGACCGGCCGCCAGCTTTGATGGTGGACAACCAGCCTGCCATCACCCTCGCCAAGAACCCTGTCCTCCACGACCGGAGCAAGCACATCGACATCAAGTTCCACTTCCTCCGGGACTGCATCGATGGAGGGCAGATCGTCATCGAGTTTGTCGAGACCGGCAGACAGCTCGCTGACATCGTCACCAAGTCACTCGGACGCCTGCGGTTCATGGAGCTGAGGAAGATGATTGGCATGGATGAGGTCAAGGCATCGGGCTAGCAGCAGGATTAGGGAAAGAATTGTTATACATAATCTGCTGCTCCCCATTCTCTCCTTGGTTGGAGACTGGTCGGCTCGGCCGACCACTCCCTGTTGGGAGTTGGGGACTGATCAGCTCTGCCGACCAGTTCCTGTAGCTGTAGCTGTATTACAATAGGCCACCTCTAGTACATTAGTTGGTAGCTATTACATCAGCCATGACTTGATAGTGGGCTGAGGTAAGCTTTGTACTGCTAGAAGTAGTTGGTATACTCTGTACCTTAGGAGTAGGTAGTTGGTGTACCCTGTACCTCAGGAGTAGGTAGCCGGTGTACCCTGTACCTCAGGAGTAGGTAGTTGGTGTGCTCTTGTACTTAGGAGTATGTAGTTAGCCAATAACTATGTACCTGGTAAAGGTGCAACTAGAGTTGTATACATTCCATCCAAAGGGCAATGGAATACTCAGTTCAGTTACCACAAACCAAGGGCGGAGCTTCGGTCAACGCTGGTGCTTGTGCTGAGTGTGTGTGCGCTATTCTCAATCTCTTCTTCTACCTCTAGCCATAGTGAGTGAGTGTGTGTGCTGGTAAGCTAGTTGCTTACCTGTGCAGGGCAGCTAGGGATCAACATCCCCTCCCAGCATGAACCTGCATATGAAGTCCCCATCGCTCTCTCTCGTCTCCAAGCAGCCACTACTCTCTCTCCTGTTCACCAGCAGCCCAGCACCGCCATTGCACCTCTTCCCCTCTCACTCGTGCTTTTCTCTCTCCTCTCTGCTGCTTCCCCTCCCTTCCCAAACCACAATGCACCCCCTCAGACCACTGCAGACATCCCCTTCCAAATCAAGGGGTTGACAAGCAGGAGACAGCGAAAATCAAGCTAACAGCAGCAGAATCGGCGAGAAGCAAAATCAGATGGGCCAGCAGAAGAAGCGAGAGGGACACAGCGAAATCAAGCAGAATCGAGGGGGAGACAGCGGAATGGAGGGGGTGACCGCATACACCTAAGGCGACGGAGTGTTGCCGGTAGCATTTTCTCTGTGGCAACCTTTAGACTGCTCTGACACTTAAGCGACACCTTAATAACCAAGTACACTCCTGCTGCCATGTAATTATTTCACCCATGCAAAATATAAATCTTATGGATGGACTATGAATTGATACAGGATATAGTATTCATCTCACGATCTTTCGAAAAAACAAGTATTCATCACGAAGTAACCGTCAGTAGGTGTAATGGGTTCAGCCCTGTTGACATATCAGCAGCATCTATTTTAGGTTAGATCACAAAATCACCAGACTCAGCATTCAATGAAAAAACCTAGGTATGTATATAACACAATGACCTAACAGGTTGATATAATACACTCATGGACCAAAAACGTAAACATAGCTGACAATACAACAGTAACAATTTCATATGTTGCACACAATACATCCACTGAACCCTGCCTCGAAAACAACATGGCACAATTTGTGCAAAGTAACAGTAACACCAACTACTGTTTTCCCCCTCTGTTCTTCTACAAGACATCACCACAACAACTGTTAATGGCACCTATACAACTTGAATGCCCAAAAAATTGTTTATTAATGGCAGCTATAACTTGAACGCCCAAATTGTTTAAGTTAGCCTTGATAGCGGAACGAAAAATCAGCACTAGAAGCTTCAATACCAGTACACAAGAAGCTTCAATACCAGTACACTAGAAGCTTCAATACCAGTATACCACAGTTCATAAGATTTGATTTTGAAACTGATTCATGAATTCAAGCTACCCGCAGACTTAAGGTATCATCACGGGAACAATACAAGAGCACAAATTTGGATATCGCAGAGCCGTACTAATCTAGTAGTACTAGTAGCAACTAGCAAATGAAACTTGAAGGATACACGTGAGGAGCCACCAACTAGTTCACAGAATACACGAACTTCGAGCAGGTAATCTTCTCATGAGAAGATTGTCAATGCTGATTATCAATGCTAGTTTAGTGCCCAGCACAACATCAGCGACACAAACTTAAGACTTTTTCCCCAAAAAAGAGACTGAATGAATTAGCTCAGTTTCCCCTCATTGGCACCAGCCACGATCTCAAATACCGAACTACAATACCAACCCCCCACGCCACGATGGCCACTGATGTACATGTACAAGACAAACCACGCTGGGATGGGACACAGCAAAAAGAGGAACAGAGCGAGATCTATATATCGGTTACCTGCTTGGTGGTTTCCGGGAGCAGGATGCCGCCGGCGCTCTTCTTGGGCTGCAGCAGCTTCTCCACCAGCACCCGGTTCAGCGACGGGATCAGACGCTTCGCCATGGCCGCGAGAAGGTCTTGCGCTCGATTCTTCTTGGGGAGCACGTTAATGCGGGGTTGCGGTGGCTTTTTACTGTAGCCGCGGCTCGCAGGGTTTAGGGTTTATTTGGAGTGCGGGCGTGCGGCCGAGGCCCGAGGGTAGGATGGGGAAACCGTCTCGAGGACGCCTAGAATGTTCGACCGAGCAGAGAGGAGGGAGCCTCCAGGTCCGGTACGCACTCATATGTTGGGCTAACGGCCCAACTTAACTTAATGGGCTGGCCCATCCTGAAAATGTTCTTATCATGTGGGCTGCAAGTTGAGCTTTTCTCCTCTCTTTTTTTGGGGTTTCACCTCATCTAGACATGCTCTAATTCAAAATGTTTTCATCTTTATAAGTATGGATATGTAAATTATATTTGTTGGTAACATGAGTTTAACATTCACTATGTAACTTTTCTCATTTAAGATATTGTAGTGCTAGTGCGCGGACATCCGGACTCGGCACTCATGCTGCACTCCGTTTCCCGCGCGCGCCGCACTCCACACTCGCCCCATGCCGCCAGACTATGCGGGGGGACCCTCGCGCCCATTCCACTTCACATGCGCATCTCATGTGCAACGTCTGATCTATTTTTGAAACATCCAGATACAACACTTGCAACATTCATCTGAAGACAGATGAAATACTTGAAAAAAAACACTTGAAAGCCATTGTAAACATACGCAACATTCAGATAAAACACTTGCAACATATGTGTGTAAACATATGCAACATTCAGATAAATACATTTGCAACATACGTCTGAAAAACACAGATGAAACATCGGTAACAGATGCTTTCAACATACATGCACAACCATTGTACCATATGAAACATCCCGATCTACTTTTGCAATATACTTCTGAAACATATCAAACACTTGAAAGATACACTTACAACATGCGTTTTTCAACCTTCTTCTTCCATACGACGCAGAGAAGAGCGGAGAACGGCCAGTTCCGGCCAGCCAGTGGCCGATGATGGTGGCACGGCCTGGGCCCGGCCAGCGACACCCCCCTCTCCTGGTCGCCCTACCACACACGGCGTCCGGGTGCCTGCACGACTGCTGCTAGGTTGGCCTGGCCAGCCAGCGGCATCGGCGAGCGGCCAGACCCCCGCGGCGGCGAGGAGGCTCACCGGCTCGTTGGAGACGGTTGCGGCAAGCGTGCAGCGCGGTGGAGGCGGTCACGGCGAGCAGGCAACGTGAGTGCGGCGGAGAAGGCAGTGAGACGGAGTGGCGTCGAAGCGTCCAATTTTTTAAAGTCGTCCGGCACACTTGATTATTCCGATCACCATCTCTCTGAATCAGAAGTTCAGAACAGAAAAAAAGACACAGCTCATGCAAATCAATAAACAAGGTAGCAGTATTCGACGGTTCGGCATCTTGTCTCTCATGCCAAATCAAAAGTACAAAACAAAATAAAAGCAACAATACCATCGAACATTCTATGCATGATTAGGTACCTATATATCTAAGAAAGAATTGGCAAAAAAAAAGGCAACAAGAACTAAAGACAAGAATCTGAAGAACTGGAGTGTAGCAGCTCGCTGAACCAGCCCTCCTATCTTCTGTTGTGAAGTGGATTAGGCCCAGTGATGACCTCCCTCTTCTCCTCCTCGCCAATCGCGTCTCCACCTCCCTTGTTGACGTGCTCCAGTAATCCCTTCGCAAGCACCTCGGCATGACGACCCGCTAGCATTCTTCTCCCTTGAAGCAGCCTCACTGCAGCTCCTCCATGCAGATGACAAGAGCAAGAAGATGATGAGCTCCCAGCTGCACTCTCTGCAGCCTGCAATATCAACACCAGAGATATAAGCAGCAAGACTCCAGGGATGAGCTTGGGCTCGTTCCTCCTGAGCAGCACCATCCTCTGCTGTCTGTGGATCTCTTTAACTAGCTAGCTGGTAGCTAAGAGTGCATGAACGACGAGCTGATGATGATCAATGTGGCTAAGCGAGATAGTAACTTCTGGTTCAGTTAGACGGGATGAGCTCGCTGTTGTGTAGCAGCTAGTGGATTAGGTGCGCTGAAACCCTGGGGGAGGAGACAAAGCTGAGCTGTAATTGTTGGCTTGCCATCGATCAGGTTCTGCCCGGCCGGCCTCATTGGAGACTGCACGAAATTAAATTGCGTGCTTGGTCAAGTTTTTTACTACTAGTCAAAGCACGTCATTAAGAGCCATTGATTGATGCTGGCGAAGAGAGATTTTTATAAACTATGGTTGTCAGTTGTCACTAGTGCGTGCTCGATGTAGCAGTGTCAGTGTCTGTCACAGCTCGCAAGTACTGGTACAGTGTTAGAAGCTTCCTTAAACTAAGCGTTAGCACTGTCTTTTATCTTAGCTTGCACAGGAAGAATTAATAGTACAGATCAGCAGCCGTAGTATTCAGAATTTCAGATAGACTTTTTACTCCATTTGTTGTAAAAAGTGTCTAGTGTTTATTATAACAGAACTGCAGAGAAAATGTACCCTGCATTGCATCCTCAGAATCAGATACGTCGTCTCGAGTCTGTAAACGCTGGACAATGGACATGCAATCTGGCATTTTTTAGACTCTGACGAGGTTGGGCCGGGTTCTCATACCGTGTGGTCTCTCTCTCTCTCAGCTTCTCAGGACCATCTTGCGGCAAGATTCTTCTTGTGCCTTGCAAAATTGAGAATCCTTCCGATCCGTGCATTTCTAGGACCATATACTACAAACGACGCGTGCATGACGCCTTTGCGATTGCGCGTGCACATGCTTTATAGATGGCGACGAGGAAGTTGCTCGCTGTCAGCAAGGTAAAGGTGTCCTTCATCTTCAAGCCCTCCCCGATCTGAACGTACTGACTGCCGAACGCTTAACTGCCTAGTACTGACATGAGATTCGGCTGCATCGGTGGCGAGTTTTCACGCATGATTGAGTGATGATGCATGGATCTGGATGTGAATAAACTTTTTTCTCGGACTATGACAAAGTTGCCAATAAATTCAGGGAACGGAATCAAGAGAACAAAGTATACTTCGTAGTTTACTTTTATGGACTGTTTGGATCCTTGGAAGACATCTTTGGATCCTGGAATTGAGCTCGCCTCACCTCGTCAGACAAGAGGGTAAGACTAAACGGAGTAATTATGAGGATAAAAAAGCGAGTTGGAAGAAACAATTCGTTCTTTAACTATAGATATAGATAGATATATATCTAGACTGGACCCTTGCCATACTTCCAAGGCATCACACAATATGCATGCATGTGTCCATTAACAAATAACAATAGCCAAAATCCTAAGAAAATGTTGGCACTTGCTAGAGAACCAAATCCATTACTGCTAGCCAAATCTAGCTCGTGTCCTATCGTTTGCCTCTGGCTGTTGTAACTTGTATTACCCCTTCAAAAACGACGTTTAAAACCCAACATGAAATGATTGTTTATGTGAGCAATGTGGGTATTATATCTGTTCTCCGGTACAATCAAGTTTCAGTTTCCAGCCAAAAAGGGGGACTGTTTCTACTTTCTAGAGAACTATGTACTTGGCAAACTGAAAATGTAAACTGATCGACCTATGTACCTAAAAAGAACAACGCAAAGGACCTTTTCTAAAGAAAAATGATGACAACTACAAACTGATCGACCAGTATTACATTTCCCCCTAATTTATTCCTTTGTATAATCTGTACTACCTCGATTGTCACCCTGTAATCATATTATTCTTTCATAATTCGGCAATTCCCAAGTTGGACTACTCAAAAAGGGCAATCAAGAGTGATCGGAGTTGTTTAAGTACGGAGTTGATGATGACTGAATCATAGTTTGAAATTAAAAGTTTATAAGTCTGAGCTGACGACCAAAGAATGATTCTTCTTCTATGTGCACGTCATTCTCTCACCCCTTCCCGATGAATCCGTGATTAACGAAGTGATCAGATCAAAGCGACTGGGTAACGATTTGGTACAGTGGACCGTGAATGTTATTAGGCAAGCCCTGATGTGCTGAGGTCAATAACAAGGCGCTAATCTTTCATTCACAAATGTCTCAGCAACCCGCGAAAGTTCTGTGAATCTCCATGTGCGCTTTTATCTCTGCTTTCTCTTGTAGAAAATCGAAGGATGGTATGTAGTAACTCAATTTATAGAAATGTGAATCCTACGTAGTTTCTTTGTTTTTCCTACTATCCAAAGAACGCGTAAATGTTTGACAGGCCGTCGTGATGCGTAGAGAACTAGAGGTCAATAAAAAAACTACTACCTTTTCATGTGTTCGGCGGACCAAGAAAATCGTACATTCTCTCCGAAGAGAAGAGTCATCCATCGCCACTGGGCTTATAACGCGTATTTTTTCAGTCAACGAACAGTATTATTTTCTCATAACAAAACAGTCAATAATACTTTCAGCCATGGCTTATCAGCCAAACGAACAGATGTGGAGGATATGACTCCCGGTATCCATAAGAGAAGACATGGGCCGTACCATCACTGGTCGACGTGCACCGCAAGATATTATATAGTACCAAATATGATACTTTCTTTGTAGCCCTACCCCTCCAGAGTATATAAAGAGAAGCAGAAGTCCCATAGTCGACATCTACATACATCTCAATGCAATACATGAGAACACAGGATGTAGGTATTACATCATACTAACGGCCGAACCTGTCTAAATCTTGTGTCTTGTTGCTTGTATTACCATCTAGTTCGTATCACGTGCACTCCCACCGATTTATCTACTACCGTGGGTATATCCCTTAGTAGATTGCCGACCATATTTCGTCGACAGCAGGGCATATGTTGTGTAATCTATATTTGACTATTTTAGAAAAAAAAGAGTCTAACAGTTATTGTATCTGACTTTCTAAAATAGTAAGCCATCTATTCCGGAATTCTCGCATGGTAAATATGGCTTGCATGTGACACTAGCTATCTGCCTCTCCGTACTAGAAAGTCTGTTGGAGTTTTCTGTTTTTTTTTTTGCAGAGATTTCTATTTTAGAGATTGGTTAAATCATGGGTTTAGCCATCTATTTTTATCAACTCTATTGGAGTTGCTCTAAAACGACATATCTTTTATCAACTCTGATTTGGATTTTTTATGGTACACCCTGTATCTATGAGCACATCCAAAACACCGGGCCGATAGATTTCGAAATTGACAAAGTCACATGATGTATATCATCTATCAATAAAAGAATAACATCGTTAAATTTTAGAATAATTTTAAAAATACTAACATTCGCATTAAATCGAGAACTTAAATTCAGATATACATGTTTTAAGAAAAACTACCTAGCTAACTCACGCTCGTGTTTACTGGTACATATGGGAACGTCATGCTGAATATATATTGGTTGACCGTCAACGTTAGAGGTCATGATGACAGAGGTCAATAACAATTCACTAAGGGCCTGATCGGTTTGTGACCAAATTTTATTGTGAAACATTTGGCTAAGCCAAAATTTTAGCTAATATTTGGTTTGCTATTAAAATTTTTCAACCTCTTATATTTGGCTTGCAAAATCTATGCCAATTTTTTTATCCAACTTTTGGCTGCTAAATTTTTAGCATGGCAAAATTTGGCGACAAACCAATCAGGCCCTAACTTTTCACTTGTTTCTTCGGCAGACGTAGAAAATTCTATAGATTGTCATGTGCTTCTTAGTTCTCATTGTTTTTCATATCAACCGAAGTACATCGTACACATGTTTTTTTAATGACGCCAATCAACCATGCCTCAGTACTACCTAGGCCTCTTGCCCCCAATGAATTAGAAAAAAACGTATTATAGTTACCTTCTGGGAAAAAGGTTACACCATTATTATATATTTATATGCGTGCTTGCATCTTAAAATTAATTTCGGTTAAGCATATTATTGACCTGAACTTGAAGCAGACAGCCTAGACAGCACAACAAAATAATACTGATACCGACAACCAACCTACATTTATATATGTGATCGAGTTTAATTGTGGAGAAAGTGACGACGACATTGAACATTTTTGTTACCAAGCACCGAATTGCATGCCAATGCTTCCGGCGCAAACCGAAAATTAAGGAAATATTCTGCATCAGCAGAAGTATAATTGTAGGGTCATGTTCGTTTCTCTTATAATTCATACTTTTCAGCTTCTTTTTTCAGCTGGAACAGTATTTTTCTCTCACGACAAATCAGCTAGAACAGTGCTTTGGCTTGTTTTTTCAGCGAAGCGAACGGGGCAAAAAAAAAAAAGGAAATTGCTGTGGAACACACATTCTAGCCAGTCGTGAGAGCGTATCAATGTCTGCTTTCCTTCACATAATTAATTAGCCAATCTGAAGATAATTTGCTACTATGTGCTGCTAATATTATTGGCTACTAGGCCAAATTTATTGGCCCAGAATAAATTCAATTCCTTTTTTAAGGAGAATTGGAGTTTGCTTCTCTTTTTTGTATCCACTTGATTCACCCTTGGAGATAGGGAGGAAGACGGATGCAAATCGGGCAGAAAAATTCTTCTTGTGCTTCTATATTTTTTTAAACAAAATGGAATCGGTTTTGGAAAAGACAGGATTAGAAACAGAATCGGGTTATGTGAATATACGAAAACAGACAAATACGGATGAAGAGCCAGAAAATTAGGTTAAGATCATAGTATGATCTAATATTTCTCAAGTATGCATGCATAAATTAGTCACACAACAATATGCATGTATGAAGATCGGTTTAATATTCACTTGCATATCATGTGTGTTAACACATTTGGTATATTAACATAACATAAGAACATGTGATGGTTAGGCATATTCCCGCATAGATTGAAAACGGAATAAATACGGGTTCGACCTAGATGAAAATGAGATCCCGCAAAAACGGACACGAAGCCAAGGTATTGGTTGGTGACCGAGGGCATAGGCTCTGTGGTGCTCTAACAAGAACTAGGGGTTGCGCTTTGGCAACCGATAACACAGGATAAATTAAATCTTTGTCTCGGGGAGTTTTCTCTTGAGTTGATCTTTACCTTATGCATTTGTTTTTGCACTGCGCTTATATTGTGTGACCTTTACCTTCCCAAGATCAACATAGGTTAGTTGGCATGATCGGCTTGGGTTGTTTAAGGTAGAACACACTAGAAAAATCTAAGGTGCACATTATCCTAGTTAATTTATAGTTTTTTTAGTGTACATCAAGTTAAGCATGGGTTTAAGTTTTTAAGTGACCCAGTTCACCCCTCCCTCTTGGGCTCACGTATCCCTACAACAAGCCAACACTAATATTCACCAAGGCATCTATGTTGGTTGATAACACTTCGGTCATGTCACTGTCGGCTCATGTTTTGATCTGGTAGTGATATTATAGTTGTGTCTATTTCAATTTTATTGGCATGAATGGCGACTTAGGAATGAGTGCTTTATTCATGTTTGGAATATCTTTTAAACACACGGATTATAAGAATCCTCACTAGATCCCAAACTTCCAACCTCAAATCCTAGATCCTTGCTAGAAAAGCTTGATTGCAGTTTCGCTCTACAATTTTACATATCTGGTGTGAATGTTGCACAAGATAATAATTACAAGAATTTATTGAATAAGCCAGATAAGTGTTGAAAAGATAAACTATACGCAAAACCTGTTTTGAGGATGTGTGATCCTAAGACCATCCATACGCCACTCATTAATAAATGTGTTTCTATTCCCTTGTCCTCTCCGCACTCATCCTACTCTTTGCTCTAGCTTGCTAAAAGCTTGATCTACCATGCTTGATCTTTAGTACCCATTGTTCCCTGCTTTTTTTAAAAAAAAATCCTAGGTCCTTATTAGAAGTTCTCCATTTTTTTTTGAAGGAGTTGCCAAAGAAACTTAGTCCAAGAAGTCTTTACAGCAAATTTGGTTGAAGAAATTTTCCAGGAATTTTGTTTGAAGATAAAAGGTTAAATTTTCCAGCGACTTGTTTAAAGAAATTGAAGGAGTTCTACAGAAAACATGTCTTTGAAAAGTTCCCCTAAAAGCTCTCGTGGAAAAGTTTTCTTGTTGAGAAGTTTTGCTAAATTCACCAAAGACGTCATAAAAAGTGTGAAAAGTTAGAGATGAAGGCCCTTTTTGGGGCACATTTTTTTGTTAGACCTTCTTCAATGATTTAATTAAAAGATTTATCAAACGAGCACATACAAGAATGACATATGAAGCAAAATCGCTTGAACTTACCAGCCCGGCTTATCAGTCATGGTATAATATTTTTCTCTTACAACAAAACAGTATCAGTCGGCTTATCAGCCGCAAAAACCATCAGCCGAACAACTCAAGTTAAAAAGTGTGAAGATGAAACTGTTTAAGGCAGAAGTCAAAACCACAAAATATGGCGTTTTTTTTGGCTCCTTTGTTTTTTTTAATTAAGAAACCCAAGCTTTGTTAAAAAGGACCGAAGTTTATGTTTTTTTGGCTTCCTGGTACTTGTACGCTAACCCTATAATTAAAGATATTTAACAAAGACAATACATTGGTCTCCGTTTTCATTGAGGAAGTACTCCTAGCTGTGGTTCTCATGGCCACCTACGCGACAGTCTGCCAAGTGCCGGCACAAAATATATAACCCCTCCCCTACAAGGCTACAAAATCTCGACAAATCTAATGAAAACCACGATGAGATATTTTATTCCATTTTTTAATTAACCTTTGGGAGAGAATGCGCTGTGGCAACAGAAACTGTCAAATTCCACGACCTGTCAGAGGCCAGTCTCCTTCCTCAACTCCCTCAGTACTGCTGACTCCGTACAACCGGCCGGCGTCAACCCCGCCCGCCCCCCAATGCTTCTCATAACGAAGAGGGAAAAAAGATACGGAGCGAGAAGGAGAGCGCAACGGAAAGCAACCCAAAAGCCTCTCCTTTTCCGCCAGTGCCCCCCATTCCACACAGGACTCACGCGCTCTTCCATCCCTCGCCCCCGTTTCTTCCTCCCCTCGCCTTCCTTCCTTTTCCTTCGATGTTCGATCCAGCGCTGTCTGTCGTCTTCGCCCGCCCCCAAAGCTCACTTTTTCCCCACTTTCCCTTGGCGTCTACGGCCTTGTCCGGTGTAGAAAACAACGGATTTCGTTGTGTTGCTTTGCTGCGGTTTTTGTCCGCTCCTGGGAGCTCAATCTCTTAAGAGCGCCCCTCCCCTCCTACTAGTCGAGTTTTGTTGTTCGCTTTGGATTCCGCGGCTTTGTTGCGGATTCTTGGTTACGAAGGCTCGGCTCCTGGTTTGGGAAGGGCCCCTTTCGAGGCGACGAATTTGGTGCGGGTTGATGGCGTCCTGCCAGGAGTCCGCGATGCAATGATGGGTTCTTGAATACGAGGTGAATCTTTGACCAGCCGAGTTTCCGAATTCCGAGCTCAAGTCCCACCGCTTCTTGATCCGCCGGGAGCCATGGGCCTCTGCTACGGCAAGTCGGCGGCGGTCCAGGAGCCGGCGGTAGCGGAGGAGAACAACTTAGCCGACGGCGCGGCGGCGGGCCGCGGCGATGACCCGCCGGCGTCGCCGGTGAAGGCGCCTCGGACGCCCAAGCAGGCCAAGTTCTCCTTCTACCTGCCGAGCCCGCTCCCGCCCTCCAGCTACAAGGGCTCGCCGGGCAACTCCAGCGTCGCGTCCACGCCGGCGCGCGGCGGGTTGAAGCGCCCGTTCCCGCCGCCGTCGCCCGCCAAGCACATCCGTGCGCTGCTGGCGCGGCGCCACGGCTCGGTCAAGCCCAACGAGGCGTCCATCCCCGAGGGCGGCGAGCCAGACCTGGGGCTGGACAAGAGCTTCGGCTACTCCAGGCACTTCGCGGCCAAGTACGACCTTGGCCGGGAGGTGGGGCGCGGCCACTTTGGCTTCACCTGCGCTGCCAAGTGCAAGAAGGGCGAGCTCAAGGGCGAGGACGTCGCCGTCAAGGTCATTCCCAAGGCCAAGGTGCGGCATATCCTCTTTCTCGCCCGTGGTGATTTCTTCTGTTCGGTTCCTCACTTGTGTTCACTGCTTAGTTTTGTGCTCGATTGGATCCTCCCGTTTCCATGGCTTCTTGCATTCTTTAATAGATCAGCTCGAGTAATGCTATCCTGCGCAGTTGTGTCCTAAAATCTGATTCTTTGTAGATTCACATGAGTCCACCTTGTGCTCATTTGGTTATAGACTTTCAGTTGATATGCTTGTGACTTCTTCAAACCTTTTAGGTTCATATTGCACTACTAGGAGAAAGATAGGAATCATATAATAGGTGTACACTACTCTTCCAGGGGACTTCATTTGGGCACCCCATACTAAAATTATCAGATTGTTAGGCGTTAATCTGTTGCTTGACTGGGATTAAAATGGCACCCCATACTAAGAGTATGAATTTGATTTCTTGAGTTATTGGGACGGTTCCTGCCTTCCTGTTTGTTAGTTGGTTTGTTAGTTGGGACAGGGACAATGATGTGGCCAGCAAAGCTTGCTTGCTTATTCAAAACCTTTATTCAAAAGCTCTGTAAGTGCCCCCCTCTGGTTGGATGTAGAGAGCTTGCTCATTAAATTGGTGTCATGTGATCATAATAGTACCATTGGCTATCTGATTCTCCATTCCCACTATCGAGCCTGTTCGCTGGTTGGTTTCTGGGCTGATAAGCCCGGCTGGTGCTGATTTGTTGTGAGAGGAAAACACTGTTGGCTGGCTGATAAGCCTTGGCTGAAACCAACAAGCGAACAGGTAGAAATGTGTATGGTGCTATGCAAAGTCCAGTCTGGTCACACGCTAATTTTCATTTCTGTTGAAATATTCACATTTGGCCCATTGTAGGACCTTTCAGTTCTGTTGCTGGAAGTCTTTTTTTTTTAATAAATACTTCTGTAGAGATTTGAGGCTCTTATCCTCTATACATGCATTATCAATTTCAATTCATCATCATAGTAACCCTGCTCATGCAATTGCCACCTCCAATCAGGTAAGTCGATGGCGATTAGGGGCCATTTTAGTGGTATTAGTTTTACTAATTAGGTGCAGTAATGCTGATATGGTGATTATATGGTCATGTTTAAGGTGTTACCTGTATTAATTGCTGGATGAAGACAACGCAAAACAAACAGGAGCATTAGATGCAGTTTATTGGATGGCCAGAATCAAATAGGTTGATATTAGTTAGTTTATTGAAGGCTGGATTGGTCAACAGTTGACGGATACTATTACTTTTCGATACACTTGGTGTTATTCGTCAAGATCTCAGTAATATTGGTTTCCTGAATTTAATATAGGGAAGTAAAATCTCCAAATTTTAGGGTGTTGTTGGGTTCACCCTGCCTCCTTTTACTTCCTCCCCTAAATAGTAAATAATAATAATTGATATATATGTAAAAAAAGGTGAACTGAAGAAGACAAAGTATAACTACAGTAGTGCTATATTGTAGATTACTGATATTTTTGGTGCATTTTTCTCGATCGCTAGTTTCTAATTGGTATTGCTAACATGGAGCATCTTATATTCTTATTTTTTGTATACTTGTTTTGTGATTTTCCTTTATTGTGCTCTGACTGCATAGTTTTAACTAGGAAAATTGTTGGTTGTTTAATAAGAATCGTTACTTGTGCTTGGAGGTCACTTGAATTTTCTGTTACTAGCAGTGTTTCAAAAAACATTAGGTGCTAGGCAGGCGGTCGAACTCCGCCTAGCGCCTAGACGTGCGTAGGCGGTGCCTTGGCGGTGCTAGGTGTTTGTACTTTCTATGGACAGTGTATCCCATGCTAAATGAAGGAAATTTTGCATACCATACCAAAAAGAATATGTTATCAACTTATCATGCATCCATGAGTAATATATCGTACTTCATCTTTCTCCATCTCTAATTTGCCCATTTTCATGCATACAGCATACATCAAGCCCAAAACACTTCTACCTAGAAAAAAGTCTAGACAAAACACCCAGGTGCTAGGCATGGTGGTGCAGCACCGCCCAGCGCCTAGGCAAAGCCAGGAGTCGACTTTTTAAAACAAAGGCTACTAGTGTTCATACTTCTTGGGCAATATGATAAATATAACAATATAAAACATACTCGCATAGTTTTTGTTTGGACCTAATTAATTTGATATATTTTATGCATTGGTCTTGTAACTTTCAGGCACAATTAAGATTTGATCTAAGGAGAGCTTAGAAAGTGTCTGATATTTTCAATAGCTTCCAACATAACCATAGACGCTCCTATATTTTTAATATTCACCATAGTAACTTTTTCTATGTTTGACGCTCTTCTATGTGAAACATTCGTGATCATATGATTATATTGATCTCGTTATAGTAGCTGTATAGTATATATTGCTAGTAAAAAGTTGGATTTCAGTTCGCAGTTCCTTTGATACCTTCTATAAAAATCCACTTGAAATCCTAAGTAAATGCTGTCATGATGTAGTCTCACCCAAGCACACTACTTCTGGACAGATGACTACTGCTATTGCCATTGAAGATGTCAGAAGAGAAGTCAGAATATTGAGTTCTTTGACAGGCCACAGCAACCTAGTGCAGTTTTATGATGCTTTTGAGGATGAAGAAAATGTATATGTTGTTATGGAGTAAGTTCACAGTTGTTCCATTTGCGAATTCCATTTATTAGTAACCCTATTGATTTACTGAAACTCCTAGAGTTTAATGCAGCATTATGTCAGCAAAATAGAATGGGCCATTCAACCTTTTGTCGTTATGCATTTTCAGAAAAGGCAATACATGATGTACTAATTTTGGTAGAGATTAGAAAGGTTAAACTCTAGTCTCTTGTTGCTGATGAAATTTGGTCCTGGGCAAACCTGACTCACAAGACACTTATTTTGGTTGGCCATGTCTTATCATTCTCTTCCTATTCTTCCTTTTTTTTAAAGAACATTATAATTGTCTAGATATGATTCGGGTATCTAGAAGTCAGCAAGTAAATCAAATGAAGCATGGAAACATGTGGCACTCAGAATTTGAACGTTGCTAAATTCAGTCACCTTTCAAAATGCTCTATGTACTTTTGTCAAATCTAAAAAGGAAATAAGCATGGTGGATTTGGCTAACTCAAGTGTTGGAAAAGGCTAGTAATATACACATGATTAACCCAATTAGATTGCTATCAATATTTCTAACCCCATGCACGTTTCTGCGAGTGAAATTAGTATTTTTAAAGAAAAGTTGGCTCTCAGGATATGTGGTCATGAATTTAACTGTTAGTAGAGATCCTTTATTACCCTGGTCATGCAAAGCTTACATTCCAAGCATACCAACTGTGGAGAAGGAGAACAGAACTTCCGTTTTGGGAAATGGCGTCTTAATATTGATGGAACCTATATGATCCATATTTGATTAGTTCCACACCCTGAATTGGGACCGGCTCTGATAATATGAGTGTGTCAACGTATACGAATGCGTAGGGAGTGCCATTGAGTAGCACCTACTTATAAGGTCGCTTTATTTGCTTGCATTAGATGCTGATGTCGATTTGCTTTATATTCGGCCTTTTATCGGCTGGTCACATATTTTCATGGGGGTGAGACTAGATAAGAGCTGCCCAATAAGGTAGGATTGTTTTGTTGGAACAGAGACTGGGATCGGTGATGTTTTTCCTTGTATTTGTCATAACTCATAACAATGTTATTGCAAGTGCAGATTTGGCCTTGACTTTTGTTTCTGTAATATTTGTAAACTTTTCTTCCAAAGTAGGTTACCAAGGCTAGCACATTTTGATATACAAATATGATGCACACCTCTAGAAAAGGTCTGTGATACCTGAATATCTGTCATTTGTTTGATCACATTTAACTCACTAGTATATTTTATTGATCCAGGTTATGCAAAGGAGGTGAGCTGCTGGACAGGATTTTGGCTAGGTACTTGCATGCCATTTCATTTCTAAGACTGAAGTCATTGACTCCACAGGAATACTGATTATATCTGCATACTGTTTTGCAGAGGTGGAAAATATCCTGAGGAAGATGCTAAGGTTGTCATTCACCAAATTCTGAGTGTTGCTTCATTTTGCCATCTTCAGGGTGTTGTTCATCGAGATCTGAAACCAGAGGTAAGGTTTGTCGAACAATTCACAACTACTGTTTAGTACCATGATTCCATGAAGCTTGCGGTTGTTTTAACATGCCCTTGTCTCTGTTGTTTCTGTGGATTCTTAGCCTATGTTTAAGGTTGTTTTTGTCTCCCAAAGGCGTGAATGTAACCTGATATCTTGTGGGTGTGTGGGTTCTTATACCCCTTATTTCTTCTCTAATATAATGATACACAGCTCTCTTTCGTATTCAAGTTTTTTTTTTTTGGCTACTTCTATTGTTTGAAGAGATGCTATGACAACCTTGATATTTTATGCTGATGCTAATGCTGGCCTGCCTTTTACTCCCATTTCTCAGAATTTTCTTTTCATGTCAAAGGATGAGAATTCAGCCTTGAAAGCCATAGACTTTGGTTTGTCTGACTTTGTTAAACCAGGTTAGTCTTACAGAATTTTCTTTGGATCATTGCTTATTATTAAAAAGGGCGTACCCAGTGCAGAGAGCTCCCGCTCTCTGCGGGGTCTGGGGAAGGGTGTTAGTGGCAAGCCTTACCCTCGCCTGTGCAATGCGAGGAGATCATTGCTTATTATTGTTTTCCATTAAAATACATGTGCTACTCTATTATGCAGATGAAAGACTTAACGACATTGTTGGAAGTGCATATTATGTTGCTCCTGAAGTTCTCCATCGATCTTACGGTACTGAGGCAGATATGTGGAGCATTGGAGTAATTGCATATATTTTGCTTTGTGGAAGCCGCCCTTTCTGGGCACGAACCGAGTCAGGAATTTTTCGAGTTGTCTTAAAAGCTGAGCCTAGCTTTGATGAAATCCCATGGCCTACCATTTCTGCTGAAGCGAAAGACTTTGTAAGAAGGCTACTCAATAAGGATTACCGTAAGCGGATGACTGCTGCACAAGCCCTCTGTAAGTAACATTCTTGTCTTGAACTTGGTTTACCCAGTTACTCAGCTTGCAGATAAGGTGACCCCTTCTTTCTTATACATTGAAAATTACAGGCCATCCATGGATCCGTGGCACACAGGAAGTTAACACTAATCTAGACATGATAATCTACAGGCTTATGAGGGCTTACATAAGTTCATCTTCTCTAAGGAAGTCTGCTTTGAGGGTAATACTTTTGTGGGTTGCTTGTACTGTTTTGCAAGGAATCACCATCTTCCGTGTTGTTTAATAACTGTTTTGTGGGTTGGATGATTAATAACTGAAGCCTCCATTTTCCAGCGTAATTGATGCTAAAAATATAAAATAGTCTCCATTTTTCGAAGTGTATTTTATTGGTAATGTTTCATCTGCATCGCCTAGCAAATGGTTGCTTTGTTTTTGATTCATGTGATTCTGTCATGCATTTTCCTCGTATAAATATATGCAGTATATGAAGGGCGGGCCTGGTGCAAGCGGTAGAGTCTTACCGCCTGTGACCGGAAGGTCCCGGGTTCGAGTCGCGGTCTCCTCGCATTGCACAGGCGAGGGTAAGGCTTGCCACTAACACCCTTCCCCAGACCCCGCACAGAGCGGGAGCTCTCTGCACTGGGTACGCCCTTTTTTTTAAAAAAAAAATATGCAGTATATACTACTCTGTAAATAAAAACACTGAATACCTGTGGAGTGTGGACATAATTGTACTCCATGCTTTCTATTTAGCTTAATGCATCATCATGAATTCAAATTGAAGGGTACATCTGGTATACTCCTTTGTTAATAGCCTGCTGACCATTATGCCCTCAGCCTGGGGTACTTGTAGCTGTTGCAACTCTGTTCTTCTAATAAAACTAGACCAACCTAGGAGGAACTAGGTGTCATTTTATTAAGAAGAAAATAGGCACCCGAATTCACCTCAGTCTGGGTATACATCCACACCCTTGACCAACTGAGCTAGCTCAGCTTTCTCAACTCTGTTCTTCTAGACCCTGTGCATATCTGTTATCACAAGTGTAACTATTCAGTATGTTCCTTGCTTGCCTTTCACCTTAAAAATTATAGTCACAATGATCATAGATACATCCTGTGGGTGTTGTACCTTTTCCATTCTACTGACCCTTATTTCCTGGGACTGCATTTTTGCTGGGATGCCATTGTTTTCTTGATGTTATTGTGAACAAAGGACACTTCAAGAAACTGTTACACGGGACTTGCTAATTAGCTCTTAAGTTTTTCAGGCTCTTGCAAAGACACTGACGACAGATCAACTCTTCTACCTAAGAGAGCAGTTCACATTGTTAGGCCCAAACAAGAGTGGCCATATATCCTTGCAAAATATGAAGGCAGTTAGTATTTTGCTTTATTCAGTTATTAAAATTAATTCGTAACATGCACTTGCTGAATTTTCATGGAACTTCTAGGCCTTGATGAAAAATTCCTCGGGTGATTCTAGGATTCTTGACTTCGTTAACTCAGTAAGCCTTCTTTGTCCTCTTATGTTCTTTTCATATTTCGGTGCATGACATCGTACTAATTCTACCCATTGCGCTAGATATGCAATATCCAATATGGAAAGTTTGATTTTGAAGAGTTCTCTGCTGCGGCCGTTAGTGTATATCAAATGGAAGGCCTGGAGACATGGGAACAACATGCTCAACAAGCATATGAATTGTTTGACAAGGAGGGCAACCGACCAATTGTGATTGAAGAACTTGCATCGGTATAGTTTGATCTCAAAACAAAGTTTCTGCATAGGAAACGGACTGTGACTTATGATGTTCATCTTTCAGGAACTTGGGCTTGGCCCTTCGGTTCCACTTCATGTTGTTCTCAAAGATTGGATCAGACATTCAGATGGAAACCTTAGTTTCCTCGGGTTCATAAAACTATTGCATGGAGTTTCTTCACGCACAATCCCCAAAGTCTAAGATAACCATTTGCATCGACCCATCCCTGATCTCTGGCCAGTGCATGCCTTGGCTGGTTGTAGAAGTTGCATGAAACCGGTACAAAGATTAACAGATCATCTTAGCGTAAGAGTTAAAATACTGTCAGTAGGTGTATATTTGCCCTGCCTTTCGCAACATGGATCGACATTGTCCTCGATGTTCAGAGGAATGTACAGATTTGGTTTGGGAAGAATGGAAAGGCTAAAGGATTTGAGGCTGGTTTTGTTTGCTTGTTTGTTCCTGTAATGCAGGTATTGCCTTCATTTGTTCTGTGCACCTGTGCCGCTTGATGCCCCAGTTGCATATGCTATTGTTGTTTTTATTTATAATTCTATAATGAGAGTTAATGTACAGCTTTGTGACTTTGGAATCCTTACCACAAGAAGGATTAGGCGGCCTCTAATGTATAATGATGGGGCTCTGGGAAAAGGCGAAAAGCTAATGTCTGTTGGTGTTGATCTCTAGTGATCCTTGAAATTATCTCCCACTCGAAGCTGGAACATCTCAGGAAACAGATTTCCAGAACAGAAATCCAGCGGTCTGATTTTTTTTGACATAGGGATTGATCCCTCGTTATGCCTTGTTTTTTTTTTCCTGTGCGAAGGAGCGCGTCGTTTTTTTCCTGGGCGAACGGGCCAGCAGCCGTGCAGGCTGAAAATTGGGTCGGTGGTTTGGATGGGCTGCCAAAAATAGAATGGGCCGGGCAAAAACAGGGTGTTGAGAAATTTTCCCTTTTTAATATTATGTATATAGAAAAAACATGTTTTTTCTTGGTGGTTTAGATATTAAATTTATCTTTATTTCAAAAAATCGTAAATTTTCCATGTGATATATGACGGAGATAAAATTTATATTAAAATCCTAAAGCTCAATGGAATTTATAACTTTGTAGTTCTGTCAACTTTTAGTTTAAAACCATTGTTGTTCCGAAATTGCCTGATATAGTCCTCATAAGAGACTAAGTTTGAGGTCCATTGACTATGTTGGAAAATTGTGGTCATCAAGAGAAAAGGGGTATGAACTCTTTCTATTCATGGTGCCTATATTTGTAGAGATTTTATAAATTCAAAATTATTATGTTTGTGTTGTCAAAATGACTTAAAAGTGTTCATCACATCCCTAATGAACTTTCTCTATTTGTCAAAATGACTTAAAAGTGTTCATCACATCCCTAATGAACTTTCTCTATTATTTATTGAAGTATAGGAGCCAACCTCGGATAAATTTTGGAGCCTTGCGCAATCTGCACCTAGCTCGCCTGACAATGCTAAAAAGTAACATGTGGGATCTCTCATTCCATCAGGACAAAACATCAAACACCTACCGTGCAACAACTACTCAAGAGCACGTCACAGAAAAGAGGCATGGATAGTTCGTTTTGATGGAGGAGGGCTCTGATAAGTGCCATGTCTATGGTGCCTTAACAATGTACCGATGCCACCTTGCTCGATCAGGCTCTAGTATACAGATGCACACTATAATGCCAATGATGCCCATTCCTCCCCATCTCTGAACCAACCATGGTGGCGGAGTGCAATATAGAGCTCTCACATGGAGCAACTTAGCAAAGGTGGCGAGGAAGGGGTCCTGAGCTTCGTAGGTAGCAGATGGATAAGTCATGATAGGATCCAATTCATCACTAATAGGACAAAGATAGTACTAACGTGTAGGTTCCATATGCATGTGGGGGCATCGATAACAATAAGGGCAATATAACCATTTTAGGCCTCGTTAGGTGTAGTCGGATTCACATTAATCCACAGATGTTGGAGTGGATTGAAGTAAAACTTAAACTAAATTTCATCAAACACATGTGGATTGATGTGAATCCGACAATATCCAAACAAGGCTTCATAGTGTTTCTCTCTCCTCTCTCTATGTGAGAAACCAAAATGAATATTTTTTTAGTCACAAACATGAATTTTTTTATCATGTTCTCTAGTTAAGACCACAAAGTAGGTGTCTTATAGAAAATTTTGCCAATGAAAATGAACCTTTCATCCCTATGATCCTTGTGTTCTTATGGCATGCAAAATTGTTCATGAATTTTAACCATATGTAAGGTGGATTAAATCAAATGGTCAAGGATTCTTTTTTGCAATCCAGAACAGAAGATGGGTTGGTGACATAAAAGGAGCTCTCACAATAGAGGTCCTCATTGAGTACCTCCATATTTGGGATACTGTGGATGACTTACTCTTGCAGTCGGATGTGCAGGACCGTTACACTTGGAAATTATCCTAGGATGGGACATATAACAACAAATCTACGTATGGAGCCTTCTTCATGGGAACCATCAAGTTTGGACCATGGCGAAGGATTTGGAAAACTTAGACACCCCCGCGCTGTAAATTCTTCATTTGGCTGGTATTTCACAATAGAGTCTGGACGACCGACAGGTTGGCTAAAAGAGGTCTCCCCCATCCAGATGCTTGTCCCTTTTGTGATTAGGCTAAGGAAACCATACATCACTTGCTGGTTGAATGTGTATTCACTCGCCAAGTGTGGGCCTTGATATTCCAGAAGCTTGGCCTGCTGTTTTTGGCGTCTTATCCAACCGTGAGTCGCTTCTTGGGACAGTGGAGGAAAACTAATGCAGCGGCTCCAAAAGAAATCAGAAAGGGTTTGAACACTTTGATAACCTTGGTAGCTTGGGAGGTCTGGAAGCATCATAATGATTGTGTCTTCTAGAACTTAAGGCCGAATGTTCATGAGGTTATCAGTGTTGTGTGCACGGAGGGGGTCTTTGGTGTATGGTCGGGGCCTCCAAGCTCACACAACTTTTATCTAGGTCGCTCCCCTCTGGAGCTTCAGTCCTAGGAGTTGCTGGTCGTCTTTTAGTCAGTTTGTGGCGCATTGATGTGCTGGTCTCCTTGGAGTGTGTGTGTGTGTCCTGGTGCTCGAGTTGGGTCTCCTAGACCCATGTGCTTTTATTCTACCTTAATGAAATGACTCGTAGTCCTCCTACATGGTTTGAGAAAAAATATTCTTTTTCTTATATTAAATGTAGCAAGATACATGGGAGCCATATGATTTCCATATATGGTTTCGAGATCTATCCAAACGATGCATTGCAACACACATGAGCATTTGATATATATCCCAAATTGAAAATGGAGCAATATCATATCATAAGTACATGGCTTGTTGCATGAAAACAACAATATTAATTAACATATAAGATAATCCATGTTTTAGAGACCAGGACCAATGGTAAAATCTATTGGATGTATCTTGACAACATGTCTGGAAAATATGTTGGTGACACACATCCAACATAAATAATAGAAATTATATGGGCTACATGTTACCAATGACCAATGCATCCCATATGATTGATCATTATTATTCTTAGTACATATTTAGTTGCATCCATCACCCATCAAGTTGATCAATGGCACAACTCATCGAGGTACCAATGGCATGGATGCCATTAGTTGAGGAGTCATTGACATTGACCCCACCAGTAAGCCCATGGATGGAATTTAGAGACATGGAAGAAATGGGTGTAGTAATCTTCTCATCAAGTTGGTACCTTGAAGCCAAATCCATGAATGTAAGTGGATATGGCCTTGTTGGCAGTTGTTCTTGCAACACCTTCTTGATCTTTTCCTTGATAACATCTTGTATTGTTTGAAGCTTCTTGTGAAATTCCTGTAGCTCATCAAGCACTAACGGATAGGCATTGGTAGTTAGCAAAGGCATCGTATGTGAATCCATATGACACTCAATCATCTCCTTCAACCTCTCCTTTCTCTCCTTCTCAACCTCAATCATTTGCCCTAACTCTGAACACTCTAAACTCATTTGGTGCTTAATGTTTGCCTCCCTACTACTAGCATCACAACTCTCATCACTTGTAGCAGGGCTGATCAAAGTGAGAAAGCGATCTATCACAACCCTAAAGGAGGGACTACCAAAGGAGAAGGGCCTACCAGTAGGGGAGAAGGCAACAATAGCGACCATAGCACCACATAGAATGGAGAGATCGCTAGCCTTCTTGAACAGGCCTTGGTGGCGCTTCGAGAAGCATACCTGACGTGCCTCCTTAGACTCGATTTGCTTCATCTCGATCTTTTGCCTACCCATGGATGGCTTACCCTTCACCATGCCTTGGTTTGGCAGTATGTAGATGGAGTATACAATCGATGGAAGAACGTAAGCCATTATATAGAGGCACGCACAATGAGATAAAAGAAGAAACTTAGTTTTTATAGATGTGAACGCACACATGTAATTCTATTGTTGCGTTTTCACTAGATGTTGTGTTAACATATTTGGAATGCAATCGTGAGGATTTCCCATTTCATACATGAACAAGGATTTAGTCAAATATTAGCATTGTCATTATTTTGATCTTCGTTGATGCCTAGCTGGCTCTATACGCCATTCCATGCATGGTGCCAACTCACAACAGTCACCTAGCACGCCTACCCAAAATCAACACTGATTTACCTTGGTAATCTCTTGACACCTAAGGGGGTGTTTGGTTCCACCTCCTAAACTTTAGTCGCTGTCCCATCGGATGTTTGTACATATGCATAGAGTATTAAATATAAACTATTTACGAAACTAAATGCATAGATTGAGACTGTTTTGCGAGACGAATTTTTTAAGCCTAATTAGTCCATGATTTAACAACGTGGTGCTACAGTAAACATGTGCTAATGATGGATTAATTAGGCTTAATAAATTCATCTCCCAGATTACCGACGGATTCTGTAATTTGTTTTTTTTATTAGTATCCGAACACCCCATGCGACACCCCCATGTGACACCTCCTAAACTTTAGTCACCAGATCCAAACACCCCCTAAGATGTATGTATTGAGAAAATGTTGTTCCAAAGTGACTATGATTTGAATTTGGAAATATGAATCTACAATGGTAGAACGCTTAAAGTGGGAATAAAAGCACATTTTGTCCCACACAAAAGCCATTTAGAATATTTCTAGAAGATTAGGAAAATGTTATTAATCATATTGAAAGGATCAAAATGTAGGGGGACGAATAAGCATTCCTAAAAATTCAAGAACAAACTTACAATAGATTAGTTAAAAGCGAATTGTTCGCAAATTTGTAGATTATCTGTAAATTTACATATTACTAAAACAATGTGGATTTTATATAAAATGCCAAAAATACAAGAAATTTGAATGTAAACTACTCCCTCTCTCCCCGAATAATCAATTATCAGAGTTGTCTTAAGTTAAAAAAATTTACGTTTGTCCGACTTTATAAAAAATAGTGTCAAATTTATGACACCAAATTAATATCATTAGATACATCATAAACTTTATTATCAAAATATGCTCATTTAGAGTCCCAATTATTTGTACTTTTTTATATAAATTCAGTCAAACATAAAAAAAATTATCTTAAGATAACTCTAGGAATTTATTCATTTAGGGACCGTAGGAGTACACCTAATGATCTCTATATCAAACTAAACTAGGAGATATGCTTCTTGATATTCTAACTAGGACATTCACAAAGCAACTCTCACAAGCACATACAACAAAGTAGATCAAGCAAATATATATAGTTGGACGTAGAAATTCAAATCACAATAAAACAAAGTGAATACCGATGATTTGTTTCCTGAAGTTACTCTCCTTCCAAGAAGGATCTATGTCTCTATTGAGGAAGCTCGAAGAGACCCAAGGGGTAAACTTAAGCCATGTTTCTTTCAACCACTTTCCTAGGTCCACTATCTTTTTTCTTAAAGAGACGAGATCAAGGCCTTCATAGTCTTTCGCGTGGCTCACCACAAGCACGGTCACTCGCTAGCTGACACCTAACCATCTAGGAGGCTTCACCTCGAAGAGTAACAAATGCTTCGTAAATAATTGACAAGGCCAACAAGCAGGGGTGAAGCTAGGCCAAAATGGTGCCAAGGTCAAGTGTAATGCACATCGGGGTCTTTACTTTTAGATAACAGTGCAAAGCTATAATTCTCACTAAGTTTGCACAAATTCACTAGGGTCAGCTAACCCAACAGCAAAGCGTAGCTTCACCCCTTTTGAACAAGTGTTCAAGGATTTAGATCATTCTCTTGCTAACAACCTTCATTCTTTCAACCCAAGTCTTAGGTTTCTCACAAATCACAAATGATCCTCACAAGAGGGAGTATGGAGAGCTAGAGAGGTTTTTTTGTTGGTGTTTTTTTATCCAGTGATAATGATTATGGAGACAACATGCATAGAAGATCTAGATGGTACCACATGTGTTTAGGCAGAGGGTGCCCTACGTCCATCCTTGTGGCCTAGATGGTAGCACATGAGGCTTAGCACATCCTTGTTCCCTAGATGGTAGCACATGAGGCGTCGAGGTTGAAGGTCGCTGATTCAACATCGGCCACACATCCTTGTGGCCTAGCTCTGATGGTCCAACCTAGGCCAAGACATCGATAGTCAAGCTCTAAGGATGACAAAGCACAGGAGGAGATGGACTTGCGTGAAAGTGGTGGTGAGGCCCGGGAAGTAAAGCATGAACCTAGAGGAGATGCTCGTGCACGGTGTTGCACAATGCAAGGTATAAGGTCAAAGTGGCGTTTGTATGTGTGTCAGGCTTGGGCTGGCACGGCTAGCATAATGGCGCGGGCATGGCTAAGATTGTGTGGTGCGTTGCCTGACCTGACTGCATGGCACAACACAATTAGCTAATCGTGCCTCGCTATGATGTATAGGGTTGTATTGCACGTTTGTCCATAGGGACCGGTGTGATACGGTTTTGATGTTTTGTAGTTTTGGTCCTTTTTTTGATGTTTGGATGGGGTGAACGACAGAGTGTGCAGAGGGCTAACTCCTACACCATACCCATGCATGTTCTTTTAAGTATAATTGTAGTAGAGACACGTACACGTAGAGAAGATAGAGATTACGACATGTTATAAATATATAAATTCACTCCTTTTAGTTGTGTTAACCATTCAAACAAAATATTTAAATACTATTGGTGCTACATGTGGCCCTATAATTTGTTTTTGCTCTTAAAAGCACATTTTGTTGTAACAATCTGATAATTTGGCGTGTAAAATAGAATAATCTCTTCTGCATACAAACTAATGAATTCTTGTCTGGCTCGCACTGTATTATCTAGTGTACGTACAATGGTGGAGAGTCTTTTGCATGACCAGATGGACCCTCAAGCATCGTCTCCCACTCTTAGCTTACATCCAAAAAAGTAAGGGAGCAATCTTATAATTTTCTAACCATTTTTTTTGCGAGTTGAGCAACTTCAGCCGAGATCAAGCAATCACAATATCCTTGAGCATAACAATAGCAGCCTCTAGGAGGAGGATCTAAACAAACGAATGGCGAAGACATAAACATGATGTTTGCCCAAGGCATTTCTATGGACTTTTTTTAAAAAAAATTGGCCAGCAAGTTTTTTTTTTGCACGTCGTAGCAAAGGACCGCCATTTAGCGTGATGCTTATGTATCTCAATGTAGCTCAAAACAATAGTCGCCCTGTTCATTTGAACTTATTTAAAACTGTTTTTCAAGTGTTTTCCTCTCACGACATTTCAGAATAAGCATTAGCATAAGCTAAATTTCAGCATAAGCGAACGGGTGAGTGTCTGGTAATCTGAAAACATGATTCTTTCTCATATGCTTCTCTTAATGCGTCAAAAGTTTTTTAGCTCCCGGCGACAATGCATGGCCACGACCCTAGCGAGAATCAACGATGAACGAGGTCAAGAATACCGAGGACGCTCTCTTTGGCGGCGAGCAAAGCGCCAAAGCCATGGCTTGGTTTGGCCAGTTTTCGGTGGCAACACGTCAGCCAGCGTGGGCAAGCACGGTGCACGCGCGCGTCTATCGCCCCATCGGCACGACAACATCGTTTTCAATTGAGCCCTTGTTTAGTTCCAGAAAGTTGGAATTTGAGGCTACTGTAGTACCTTCGTTTTTATTTGGCAATTAGTGTTCAAATATGGACTAATTAGGCTCAAAACGTTTGTCTCGCAATTTTCCACCAAACTGTGTAATTAATTTTTTTTCGTCTACATTTAATGCTCCATGCATGGGCCGCAAACATTCGATGTGACAGGTACTGTAGCACTTTTTTGAAATTTAGGGTGAAACTAAACAAGGGCTGAAAAGATTAATTTGTGATGCCACTGCTATTTAGGTGATGTGATATAAATTCCTCGCGTGCGGTGCAAGTGATGTGTCGTTTTTATTTTAGGAAACACCCTTAGCATCTAATCAACTCTGTTTGCCATTTCTCGTCTTAGGGTGTGTTTGATCCCGCTACTAAAATTTAGGAGGTATGTCGGAAGAATATTATATTGAGGATTCGGATACTAATAAAAAAATAAATTACATAATCCGTCAGTACTCTACGAGACGAATTTTTTAAGCCTAATTAATCCGTCACTAGCACATGTATACTGTAGCAAAATATTATCAAATCATGGACTAATTAGATTTAAAAGATTCGTCTCGTAAATTAATCGTAAACTATATAATTAGTTTCATAATTATTCTACATAACCCTCGGTGATTCTTACGTGCTGCAGACTGCAGTCCTTACATATTACCGGCCCCGGCCTATTTACTCTCTCGTGTAGTGTCATCTTTATTTTTCAAAGACATTGGCTTCTTGATGCATTGTAATTTTTCCTATAGAATTGTTTAATTATGAGAATACTAGTGAACTCGTTATATCTTTTTTCCGGAAAAAAACATAACACGCACCAAAGAAAAGCTACTGCTGCTTAACTTCTAACCAAATCCATCTCAACACATGTGAATTAGGTTGGATACGAGTATAGACAAATAAGTTCTGTTAGAGTATCTTTAAGAGTTTTCAAAATCCACTCCCAAAATTAAATTTTTTGGCAAGATTAAAAAAACTCTCCAACAACTTCTTATCTCAACTCGTAATCTTTTGGCACTTGAGAAAATCAATTAGTAAGAGCAACTCCAACAGCTTAGCTAAAATTAATAGCCAAATTTTATTGTTTAGCTATTTTATAAAATAGAAAACTCCACAAAAAAGAAGAGGTCCACGGTAGTCTTGCTATTTTATAAAATCAGATAGCGAGCGTCCGTAATTGGCTATATATGACCATCGAAAATTAAGGAATAGCCAGCTTTCTATTTTGCAAAGCCACATAACAGATCTGTTGGAGCCTACGTTTTACTATACAAATTCTAAAATAGCATCTACAATAAGAATTGTCAAGTTATTGGAGTTGCTCTAAGTTTGATTAATTTTGGCACTTGAAAATGGACAGAAAAATCCCTATAGTGGAACTACAATAATACCCACGGGGCCGACTGGTTTCAGATGTTCGGTGGTGTTTAACGCCTGTTTGTTTGGTTTACCAGACGTATTTTTTCAGTTAACAAATAATATTTTTTTCTCACAATAAATTAGTCAACGGTATTTTTAGTCAAACGAACAGACATAAATTCAGGGATGTCACATCGGGTATCACATCGAATATTGTACGGTGAGTGTTTGGAGAGTAATAATAAAATAAATTACATAAATCCTCATTAATCAGCTAGACGAATTTATTAAGTCTAATTAATCTATCATTAGCACATGTTTACTGTAGCGTCACGTTATCAAATCATACACTAATTAGCCTTAAAAATTTATTTCACAAATTAGTCGTAATATATAGAATTAATTATTTTTTTAGTTTATATTTAATATTTTATGTATGTCTCAAACATACGACGTGAGATGAAGAAGGGAAAGTGGCATCCATATTCCACACCAGTGAGTCAGTGACAGACTGACGGCCCTGGACCCTGGTCCCAGCCTTCCCTCGCACTCCTCTCCTATGGCGATCCCTCCCCGGATCACGGCGGCCGGTGGCGGCGGCCGCAAGCCGAGGGTGCCGCCGCTCCCACCGGCGAGAACTCTCCTGACCGCTTTTGCCGCGGCGGCGGCGCTGGCTGTCCTTTGCCTCGTCTCCTCGTCCCCCGCCGCCTCGCTGTCAGGTTCTTGGAGATCCGGGGCTAGGAGCGGCGACAAGTACCTTTACTGGGGCAGCCGCGTGGATTGCCCCGGCAAACACTGCGGCTCCTGCGCGGGGCTCGGGCACCAGGAGTCCAGCCTCCGCTGTGCTCTCGAGGAGGCCCTTTTCCTTGGCAGGTAATAAGAACTACCTTACCGTGCTTATGCTCACTAGATAGGTTTTTATTGGATTAGCTAAATTTTCATCTCGTTGAAATTCGGAATGTGGAGACTAGAAGACTGATGCTAGAAGGAAGATGTGCCATGCTAATGCCTTGAACCGGCTAATGTGCTGCTGGTTTGTGACTACACAAGGAAAAAAAAAGGCATCACTACTTATTTTTGTTTTCTTTGCAGAACATTTGTGATGCCCTCAAGAATGTGCCTAAGTTCACTGCATAACACAAAGGGAGTTATCCAAAGTGGTGCAACTACAAAACAGAGGTTTTTGCTTCTTAGCCGCATTCATCTCTCTGTTGTTTTACCACAATGAAGTTTGCATATTTTACTATCTAATAAAACAAGTATTTTGTAGATGGGAAGAAAGTTCTTGTGCAATGGAATCTCTATACGATATAGATCAGATCTCAAGAACAGTACCGGTTATTCTGGACAACTCAAAAAAATGGCATGATATAGTATCAAGAAGCATGAAACTAGAAGTGGGAGGTGTGGCACATGTGCAAGGAATTAGTAGAGGTGAACTCAAACAAAATCCCCTATACTCAACAGCTCTCGTAATAAACCGCACTGCAAGTCCCCTTGCTTGGTAAGCACACAGGTTCTTGTAGTGCCTTTGTTTTTACTTCCTTCATCCGGACTTAATATTTTGTTCAGCAATGCCTATGCTAATTTTAACCAATTATTATGTCCAAACATTAAGCTCATATCTGAAATTCAGGTTTATGGAGTGCAAGGATCGCAACAACCGCAGCTCAGTGATGTTATCCTACAACTTTTTGCCAAGTATGCCAGCACAAAAATTGAGGGATGCAGCAAATAAGGTATCTTTTCCTCGCCTGTCTTGTTTATGCAGTCTCAAGAAATGGACTGGTAATATGTATCTGTTTCTTTTCCTCAATCTCTTGGTTATGTTCATATTCTTGTTTCTTGTTAGAATGATTTGACCCAGTTGTTTTGTTTCATACAATCCTTAAGCTGCACTGACCTTAAATTACGATTTGATGATGTACCTAAAGTGTGGAATTACTGCTGCTAACTGAACCCTAACATTGGATAAATGTTTGATGACTTTCATTTATCCATTCAAAACACAGTGTAAGTTCTGCAATTGCTGTTGTTTTGGTGGTGCATCCATAAAGCAAATTATATTATCAGCACCCTGCAAGTATAGATACCAGTTTGTCTACTTCTATTGCACTTTCTTATGCCAAGTCATTAATATGATATGCCAAGGCTGCACAGACTTCTGACTGGACGAAAACAGAATTAGCTCAAGCCTCATGCCCTGAAACATCTTTAGATTTGTAGCTTGTCAAGCATACATCAGATTTGGAAGTATGGTTTTGGGTAATTGTTACCTTTACACGAGTTCTTAAATCTAGATATTCCCACAATTTTATGTTCAGTAATATTCATTGCAGGCTATGATGCAACCCCAAAATCAGTTTCTCGGTTTCAGATGAAAGAAACACTTGGTGATTATGATGCTATTCATGTGAGACGCGGCGATCTATTGAAAAATAGGAAAGATAGATTTGGTGTCGAACGGAGCCTTCATCCTCATCTAGACAGAGATACCCGCCCTGAGTACATCAGAAACATAATTGCAAAATGGATTCCACCAGGTCGAACTCTGTACATTGCATCAAATGAAAGAACTCCAGGCTTCTTTTCCGCTCTGTCAGACAGGTACTGTCTGTGCTGTTTTTCCATTTCTCTTGTCCAACTAGGATCTCTGGCATTGTTTAAATTACCATGTATCTTCCTCCTGCATCCTAATGCATTACAGAGCATTTCTTGGTAAGTGCAGTTGGAAAGCTGTCCTCATTCTTGCTATTTAGGATTACTTAAGGCAGTTAAATTTATTTTTCTGTTCACTTTCCATTTTGCCATGGTTAAGCATTTTTTAGCTATAAGATGTTTTCATGTGACTGGTCATGTCAGCTCTTCAATCTGTTTACTGGTTAAATCCTATTCAGGTTTCTACATCCATGTGTGCTACTATATCAAGAAAATCACCTTGCGCTTACTGAAAGTGTTTGCTCGTTTTTTGTAAACAATTCAGGTACAAGTTAGCATACTCGTCCAACTTCAGTAGCATATTGGACCCAATAATTGAGAATAACTATCAGCTATTCATGGTAGAGAGGCTAATGATGCAAGGAGCAAAGACATTTGTCAAGACAATGAGAGAATTTGACAGTGATTTGACCCTTTGTGATGATCCCAAAAAGAACACCAAAGTCTGGCAAAAGCCAGTATATACAGATGATTGACGTTAGCTGGCCATCAAATATGATGCAGACTTGCATAGCTCCCTCTTTCAGCAACTTGACGGCCTCACATGGACAGCTGATTAAACCTGAAGGTGGCATGGTAGTGTTTGCTGTTATTGCAAAAGCCAACTAAAATCAACCTGCAACGGTGGAAACTCCACCTATGATTCACTTCAGCTCATTTGTTCATATTACCATGTGTACTTATAATCTGGAAAAAGCCAAGAGTGTTGACCTTTTTTCATTATTTACAATTAGGAAGTAGGTTACAATTTACAAGAGAAGATTTGTTTGCAGATTTAGAATGCATATACATGTCACATCCTTCTGTACAGCATGTGTAAGAATGAACCGGCACCGTGAGGGTTATGTGTGGAGAATATCATTAATTGGTTGTTATCTCCTTTTAATTTTTATAGGTGTTACTTATGCGGTCCTTCCGATCAACCCAAAAAGGGAACCCAAAAAAAATTGACTGTGACATGGTTTCTAATGTGTACCTCTGACCAACGTTTTCTAGTACTACGTATTTATAAAACTTTAATGGCCCTGTTCGCTTGTCTTAAAAATGGCTTGTTCGACTTTTTTTTTAGCCGGAACAGTGTTTTTTCTCACAACAATTCAGCCAGAACAGTATTTTTTAGTCAGTTTCAGTTAAGTTTTAGACCAGCGAACGGGGCCAATAATGAATTTCAGCAAACCCCCAGGGTTGTTTGAGGCTGCCATGGCTGGAGATAAGAGGATCAAGTCTATAGACAGTGAGAACGCCAACACAGAATTTCGCCTCAGTAGATGTAATAGCTTTTTCAAGTAGTGAACAACTTGGACCTAGACAATTATGGCAGACGCACCTAGAATACGTTGTAATGAACTGATGTTTTTTTGGGGAAAGTTTTTCTCTAAAAAAACCCAGGTCGAGTTTTATAAATAAATTTCAGCAAGCTGATGGTATTTCTTAAGGAAAATACACACAAAACGATATTCATGCTTAAATGTTTGAAGTTATTGCTAAGTCTGGGTCTTGTCTAAAACATCGAGTATTTATGATGGGAAGAGTATTATTTATTCATTGTTTTTGTGTATGTGCCGCACTTACTTTATTTACCTACCCCCTTGTTTGAGATGAACTTTTTTTCTTTCAATAGAAAGACACTAAGCATAGAGCAGAAGAGGGATGGTGTGGAGGGATAGCAAAGGAGAGAGGAGGGGCCTATGTGCGTGTGGCGGCCCATCAGCATGTTCGTTTGGTCGTATTTGACTTATAAGTCATGGTTTATCAGCTAACGAACAATATTTTTCTCTCACACCAAACCAGCCAATAGTACTTTCAATCATGGCTTATAAGCCAAACAAGACTAAACGAATAGGGCGCATGTGGGAGGGTGCGGTGTCCTATGTGTCATGCGGTAGAGAAGATAGGCTGCTCATCTGCTGGGCGAGAGAGATAAATAGGCTGGTATGTGGACTTGGCTTATTAACTAAAGAGAGGCATCTTTAATGGTCCATTTCTGAAAATATACTCTATTTTAGACCCATCTCTATTATTAATTGATTTTCTAAGGACGTAAGGATTTTAGGTGTTTTCGTAAATCAGCTGCCCATCTATGAAAATAGCAAAGTATTTTTGGAGATATGGATTTTTTTTGTCCTCCTCTATTAATAAAATGAATTGTCTCCTAAAATTGTTTTTAGTAGTGGTGATTTAGAATTCGCATAGGCTAATGTTGTTGATTTAATTTCTAGAGCTCAATTCAATCCTCTCTTGGGCCTTTCTGTTCTTACAAGGGGCATACTACGACAAGTTCGTAGGGACAACTAGTATTGGCTTAAACACGTCTAAATGACCGTCTACATGTGTTTAAATGCTAAACAGTGGGTTCATGTATAGTTTAGATCTAAAAGTCACTGAATTAAAGCTAGATGTGTATAAACTGTCAAACTAGTCAAAGAAACAGTTTAAATGGTTGCATTAATCGATGGCTAAATGGGTGTAAACGCCAAATCATGTGTTTAAACAATAGTTTAGGCGATAAAACAATGAAAGTTATTTGGGTGCTAGAGAGGAAGTTTTTGGGTTAGTGTTGTCTATGATGATTAAAGTCCACTAAATAAATTAATAGATGGGATGTTTCTAATTATCACAAGAATTTCTAAGATTTGTCTGAATTTGTTATAGCAACACCCAAGCCATTCCGATCCTTTGAGGAAAGATTAGTGATGGCATGAAGATGGAGACCATACAAGGGTAAACAGGACAAAAAAAAAATCAAAAGCACAGGTTCTAATCAACTTACATAAAATCGTAGCCTACCGAGCTAGCTTCCTGCAGCGACGTACGTACCTCTCCTCTATCTACCAAATTACGCGAGACACGCAACACAGTCACCTACGTCTCACTTCGCCGATCATCGTCACTAACGCCACGGCCATTGTGGTCACCATCGCCAAGGCTTTCACCTTGCTCACCACCGCCTTTTTCTTCCAGCGGCACGACCTGCTGTGCCCTCCTCTTTTTGCCGTCGTTCAGGCGCACGCCAAACAGCTTCACCGGCGCCTCATCGTCGCCGCGTGGCCTCCACGTCGGTGCCGAGGTGTCGCTGTCGGTAGAGCCGAGCTCCACCAGCCTGCAGCTGGCGGTCGTCGTCACCACCGGTGGCGACACCGGCTCCACGTGGTTCTGCAGGAAGTAGATGATCTCGTTGTAGAGCCTCCTCATGTGCGCCAGCTCCGACAACAGCAGCGAGTTGCGCCGCCGGAGCTCCCGGTTGTCCTCCGCCAGGGTCGCCAGGAAGTCCTTGCCGCCGTGGTCCTCCTCCTGGACGTTGTAGCCCGACGGATGCCGAGGCGGCTGCGGCGACAAGAAGAGGCTGAGGTAAGGCTGGTGCTGAGGGAGCGGCGGTTGCAAGCACGACGAAGACTTCCTCCGGTGGATCTCCGAGAGGAGGTGCTTAGCGCCCTTCCTGAAGAACTCGTTGGCGAACTCCCACCTGTCTGACACGATCTTCCTGAAACCCTGAAAAAAGCCAAAAACCATGCTAATTAGCTACAAGCGAGGACGGTGCAAGCTCGAATGCTTAGTTGTCGCAACTCACAGCTCAGAAACTAGTATGGAAAAATGTTTTAAATATTTGGCTAAGACATTTTAGCGGATGCCCTCTCAAACAGAGCTAAATGAGGCTATATAGCGGGTTGTAGCACGCTAAATTGTATATTATGGACATAAATACATTGATCTGCCTCAAACAACTATAGCAGGCTATAGCGACAGTTTAGCTAGAGATTTAAAACCGTGGTCAAAATCGGTGCTACATGAAGTCATGAACACAATATACATGATGCCACAGGATGGAGTTTGTCTACTGGTACTTGCACTGCAAGTGCTCATGTCAATCTCTTCTCTGACAATGATTGGGAGACAAATATCACTGCAGAAATGTACTGTCTATTTACCGGTGCATGAGAAGCATGAATGCATGGTGTGCTTGTTGTGGATGAGAGAGGAGGGTAAAGAGAAGATTGATGTTGTAAATGTAATGTAATGCAACTACTTTTATTGTTGTAACTTGTGAAAAGTTTTGGTCTGCAAACCATGAACTCTGCAGGTGGTAGGACAAAGCTATATCGCTAGAACTGAGGTTTCAATTTGAAAAGAACGTAACCAAGGTCAGTCCTCAACAAAGAACCAATGAAAGTGGCAAAAGACAGAAGATACTTATGTTCTTTTTTGGAGTCCACCAGGAAATAAAAAAAAATGAGCAGGTAGGAAGCAAACTAGCCCGCAGTGGCTTTCTAATCTCTAGCAACAAGATGGTGTATATGTCCTCTGTATCTATCCCATACGGAGTACGTATTCTTCAGTCCACAGCCACTGCCCAGAAACAAACAACATCTCTTGTCACGTTCTAGGAAACACGAAATGGAAATGATGAAGAAACGTCACCAGTCACCACCAACCAACAGGTAGTCTTAAAATCTTCAGACATTTCACGCATATGACACTCATCTTTTCGCCCCCACGCCCCCACTGACGACCAGACCCTCGCATCTAACTTAACACCAGAGCCGCACACTAGGATCTCGGCAATATGCTGTGAATTCAAATGAAAAGCCTATCTACCAAAGCCCAAATTTAAACTATATCTTCAGAACGTCAGAGCGCCATTTGGGTTGCAAGGTCGGAAACAAGAGCTTCCAGATCAAACCAAGCAAAATTAAATCCAAATGAGGCTAATATATGCATGATGGAGAGGCACACTGACACGCAGATAAACACTACACTCACTCACAATCTCAGCATGCGGCTAATATATGTATGTATCATCACTCACATAGGTGTTGAGCTGCCTGACGAAGCTGGAGAAGTTGTTGTGCTTAAAGTAGTTGGGGAGGAGGTCCCTGGCGAACTCCGGCGGCCGCCACACCACGAAGGTGGCGCCGTCCTCGCCCCACGACACGATGTGGTCGGTGCGGTGATCGTCCACGAGCTGGAAGGTCTTGGTAAGGAAGGGGGCCGGCCCGGCCGGCTTAACAGCGTGCGAGCTCATATCCATGTCGTCCATGGACGACACCACCGTCGTCGTCGCCTCACCGCCACCACCACTGCACCGCCTCTCCACGAGGAATGCCGCCATCGACTGGTGCAAGAGAAGGCAACAAATTAATGAGCAAGGCAACACTGCCGCTCTACTCTATGCTAGATTGCTAGTGCGAGAGTGAGGAGACGACTGGAGAAAGCTATGAAGGCCTCTGCCTCTCCCTAAAGCTAACTCTCACACGCACTGTCTCAGACTGGAGAGCACACATGCACACACAGGGCACCACTACCTTCAAATATTCTTGCTGGGTACCGGCGGTGGGTCACTGTCCGACCCTCTAGCTCGAGCAGTCGAGCTAGTCTCCTCCAATCTCTGTCCCCATCTCTCTCTCTCATCATTATACATGCATATGCATGGATATCTGTGCGTGCGTGCCTTCCTGCACGCACTTCCGCTTGGCACGTACTAGCTCCACTTGGTTTTTAGGAGGGGCTGCTCAGTGGTCACGAGGAATTCCATGGCATGTATATGCATATATATACCTGCTGCTGTTGTGCAACTGTTTATGACTTGTACAGTGAGTGCATGGTTATATATATATATATATATATATATATATATATATATATATATATATATATATATATATATATACACACGAACTTACGAGATTACGGTAACTCTCTTGTAAGTGATTTACTATAATATCATGGTAAGTATCATCTTAATTATAGTAACACATGTATCGTAAATGTGTATTGTCATTATCGTAAATTGGTACAAACATTATCGTAAATCAAGGTGGCCATAGAATAAGTTATTATGTAGCCAGCTATAGAATAGCCTTACATATATATATATATATATATATATATATATATATACATACATATGACGAGGCTAAAATGCACCATTCTGTGCATCAAATGCACCTGACCGTGAGCGCAAGGTAAATCCACGCTCCTGCATGTAAAATTAAATGTAGACAATCAACTACGTGATGCCATCTAACAACTCAACCCACCACTCCAGGAAGCATGCATGCAGGGAAACTTTTGTTGATTCCAAACGAAAAAATGCGATATCTTCTAAACCACAGATCTGATTTTAGATCTGTTTGAAGTAGGTTGTTGAAAAAAATATGCTTAACACAACGAGATCCATGAAGGCTGTATTTGATGAAGTTTTTTTTCAAATACGTAATTGTAATATGTTGTATTATGAGTTGCAAGCACTTCTACAATACAATTACAACTTGCCTGTAGCGTATTTAGCACTGGTTGCAATGAAGGCTGTATTTGATGAAGTTTTTTTTTTCAAATACGTAATTACAATATGTTATACTATGAGTTGCAAGCACTTCTACAACACAATTGCAATTTGGCTGTAGCGTATTTAGCACTGGTTGCAATGAAGACTGTATTTGATGAAGTTTTTTTTTTCAAATACGTAATTGCAACATGTTGTACTATGAGTTGCAAGCACTTCTACAACACAATTGCAACTTGGTTGTAGCGTATTTAGCACTGGTTGCAATGAAGGCTATATTTGATGAAGTTTTTTTTTCAAATACGTAATTGCAATATGTTGTACTATGAGTTGCAAGCACTTCTACAACACAATTGCAACTTGGCTGTAGCGTATTTAGCACTGATTGCAACTCAGAATTGCAACTTGGCGTGATTATAGTGACTAGATGCATATAATACACAAAGTTATAACTAGTTGCAACTAGGTGGTAGACAGAGTTGTAATCGGTAGTATATTGATATGCAACTCGCTTAAAGGATAAAAAATATATCCATATTGGATCTAGTTTTGCTCAGAATTTTTTTTTGAGTTGGATGCAACAAACGGTTTGTCAATCGGGCTTACGGTTTAGAAGAAAATTTGTTTCAAAGATTCGAACCAATAAAAACTTCCATGCATGCATGTATTTGCTTGGGCGCGCTGGTTGCTTTAAGTTGGTGCGCCCGCCGGCCTGGGTGCATTATATATACAGGATGCACCCAGATGTATATATATATATATATATATATATATATATATATATATATATATATATATATATATATATATATATATATATATATATATATATATTGACGTGCAAACGTACACGGGTTGATTAATTGATCGATACTTTCTCGTCATCGGTCATGCATGAACATAATTGAACTTTTAATTATAGAATAACCGTACATATGGATCAATGCCTTAACTACAAACACTAGTACAATTGATGCAGCAGCCGGCCAGCAGAACCCTAACGTTTCAAACCAAGTTGTTCTTCTCCTCAAACACTAGCCATGAACACTGAATAAAGGTGATTGATAACTGACGCTTATGATCATCTAATATACGATAATGTTTATACCAATTTACGATAACATGAATATGTACAACTCACGGTGATATTTATCATAATATTATAGTAAATCACTTAGTAAGAAATTACTGTAGTCTCGTAAATTAGTATAGTAACTATCGTAACTTAAAGTGGCCACAGAATAAATTATTCTATGACCAGCTACAGAACCGTGGTTCTATATATATATATATATATATACATGACATACTAGCAATCACCTGACTCTAATTAATGTCAGCGATGAATATATTATATTTCCACACACGTACACTACAACAAAAGTGATTTTAGGAGACAACTAATTTTATTTATACAGACCTCATCGTGCGGCATTCGACATGTGCTGACCTGGATAAGACCCGTTTAGCACATCTCTCGGTCGACATGCTGTGGTCAAATTTAATAAAGGCTGACTTAGTCCAAACCTACAGCGTGATCCCTGGGCTGGCTGGGGCTGACTGGCTGGCCAGCCCCCTCACACAAGTACTGTTCATTTAAATCAGCCAGCAGTACTTCTCTTTCACATAAACGAACCAGCAACGATACGAACCAGCCAACCGAACATGCTGCTATATTGACATTCTTCTTGTGGCGGAGGGAATAGTGTTTATCAAGTAGTTTCTCCATCCCAAAATAAGTGAATATCTTCATTTTTGAGGAGTCAACTAATTTTTTAATTTAAATAGATTTATAGAACATAGTATTAACATTTGTATATCAAAATAGGTTTACTTATAAAAATATATGTCCTGATAAACGTGATGATGCTTATTTGGTACCATGAATATTAGCATTTTTTTATTTTTCCTATATTCAGTCAAATTTGAGATTAGTTGATTATCTGAAATGGGAGATATGTATTTATTTTGGCATAGAAATAGCAAGGAGAGTACTAATGTCCAATTTACTACTTTAGGTTCCACCGACTTCTTATTAACCAATTTCCGGTTTTGTCTCTACATGGACCAGACTACCAGAGGACCGTGTTATTAGGTCATGAGGAAGATGATAGGTAGGTTTGATAGGGCGTTTCTATTCAATTTTGGATAGTAGTGGGACGCAGGCTGTTCAATGACATTCTTCATCTTACTTTGTGTCCTTCGTCTTACTTGAGGAGATAGACATTAACTTTACGGAGGAGCTGATCAGTATTGGAGAGGGAAAATGTGAGTCGGATGGCAAATGTGTGGGCAGAATCAAATGTGTGACTTGGATGGCACTGTTTTGTAGGTGACGTGGCGCAGTGTGAAGCCTCTATCATCTATATAGGTATATATATCACTGGTGCAGCGAGGATTTTTGCTCTCGGTTGGAAAACTCTTTTAGTCCTGGTTTTCCAACCGGGAGCACCAATCCGGGACTAAAGGTACCCTTCTTTAGTCCCGGCTTGACGCTCGGGACTAAAGGATTTAGTCCCGGTTGCAAACACCAAGCGGAAGTAAAGGGGGCCTCCAGGCCTGGCCAGGGACCGTCACGGGGCAGGACCTTATCAACCGGGACTAAATGTCCCTCTTTTTTTTCCCTTTTTCTGGTTTCTATTTTTGGTTTGTTTTTTCATTTAATGATTAGTTTTGATATTAAAATACATTTTCGAATACGCTGCTAATAGTAATATATATGTGTACTTCGCACGCGTAAGTTTTCGTTCGAACTTTGTACATAAATAACAAACGAATATACGCGTACATGCATATATATATATATATGATGATCATATATATACACACGTTATTTTATGTACATATAATATGTGCATACATATATATATATATATATATATATATATATATATTACAAAGGTTTGATATATAAATTGTTTATGTCCTTAGCAATTCACTCCTCCAGATTTGGCATCCACGTTTCGTTCGGGTCATTGTAGAACTCGCCGTTGGGGTTGATGACCTGGTCATTTAGAAATCCTGTTATAGTCTCTCGAATTGCTTTAAGTCGGTCAAGTCGTATGACTCTTTCCCTCAACCATTCAGTCTTCAATAAAAGTTAAAGGAAAAAGTATTAATATATATATATATGTATGTGTATTGCTCATGTAATTACTTATACAAATGAGAGCAATAAAGAAATTGTAAATATACGATCAAAATAATATAAAGGAAAAAGTATTTATATACGTAATTTGAGTTGCTCTTCAGGAGTTCTCTTTGAGTACGCCATGATAAACTCGCAAACATAGTATCCGCAGTAATTGTTACCCTGCTCCAGCCTTAGAACCCACTTTTACGACAAAAAAATCAATTAGGGTGAATTGAAATCATCATATGGTGTTAATTGAATATAAATGTGTAGTTATAGTACTTACTTTGTGTGCGATTACACCCAGTGGCGCTTTGCAATGTTTCATTTTTTGTTCCTCAATGAACCTTTTCCAAACCATGCTCCCAATAAAATAAAAAAATAATTTAACCTTTAATAATTGTTGAGAGATCGGCGCCATTATATATATATATGTTGTTATAGATAAACTAAATTAATTACCCTTGTATAATATCTATCATGTCTTGATACTCCGTTTGCGGTTTTCTCAACGAGTCTAAGATTTTCAATCTACTATTGGCCATATCGATGACCATCAATATCCAGTGATTGCTGCATAAACATATATATATGTGTGTGTGTGAGAGAGAGGTAACTAGCTAGTAAGGAAATATTGATGTCCCATATATATGATCGACATTAATTACTTATAATAACACTCACTTAAAGTTGT